CTGGCTACCCTGGGGAATGGTATAAAGCAGCCTGATGAGATGGGTAAACAGTGCTTTCCAGGTGCCCAGTTCGCACTCGTGCATGAGGTCCACGACAAGCATGCGGAATGGATCAAGGCCAAACTTCCCAAGCTTGTGCACGAATTGATTCTTCAAGCAGACAGTCTGAGTTGTTCGAAAATCCTCAAAAGCCGTTGTGCTCACCAAATTAGGTACCCACGAGCCCTCTCCGAGAGTATTTTCCACCTTGGCACCGTCTACCGTATATCCTGATGCAATAAAACCGCGAGCCTCAGTAACCTTTGACATCACATATGTTCGAAGATTGGCGACACGACTGTCCATGTCACTCAAGAGCCCCAGAAAGCTGAACGAGGCTTTCGGCATGACACAGTGAGGGCACGGACATGTGCCCATATCCTTGATAGTGGCAATCAAAACCCTGTAGACAGTAGATGGGCGATTCAGCATTCTTGACGATGTGGCGAGTTGGAATACATACTTTTCTGGATAGTCGGCCGAGTAGGTAAAGATTCGGGGAAAGATCCTCCGTAACATGCCATCAGCACATTTCAAAACGATGCCGTGCTGGTATGCCTCGAGGAAATCTTCATCCAGCAAAGTGTCCCAGCAGGAATGGAACAACTCCCTGCGACAATAGGTGAGAAGGGATGCCATACCGGTTTTTGAAATGCGAGACAGGCCGCTCAGAACATCCTTGATACTGTCAGGAAGCTAAATATGTCAACGGCAGTACTAGGGGATACACCGGCTTCAACAGAACTTACCGACGGCAAAAATCCAACGAGGTGGCATGCTCCTGATTGGGGTGACGACCGTGCGTATTTGGTTAAATTCCCGAAATACAAGTAGAGCGGCCAGGCCTTTGCAGTCCCAAAGTTTGCCAGGTGGGTGGCGTCAGAAAAGAACATCAAACCAGCGACGACACGCTCTAGCGTACAGCCATTCTCCTTTGGGAGCTTCTGAAGGCTGTCCTGAGCTGCCAACCAGGCGTCGGATGTGTAGAGCTCGTCATAGATCCACTCCTGGTGGTCTCCCAAAGGGTCCTTCCACAACTGTTGGAAAGGCATAAGGTGGAACACCCTCGATTGGATATCCGCAAAAGCCGCGTGAATCACGTCGACAAGAGGGCGATAATGGAACCCAGGAATAGTATAGGGTAGAGGACCATCCCCCCGTGACTTTGTTGGGATGTCAATGGTGATACTGGTCTGTATCCAATCATCTGGAAATGAGATTCATTTCCCGTTCTCCTCTGCGTCCAATTCTCGCAAGCTTCGCCTCACAGAAAAGTCTTCTAGGTGCTTGCGGTCAAAATCCTCTGCCAGCAAGACATCCTCGACCAACTGGGAGACTTTTGTTTCGGATACCCGACTGCTACCGGTGTTCATCCATGTCATGAGTCGATAGATGCTCATGTTAGCAAAAGGGAAAGGTGGCGCTAAGACATTCGGCGAGGAGTCTGTTGTTTGGGTAGCTATGGGAGAAGTTCTTGCGAGTAGAGTAGATGGTATAAATTTGTCCGGCTCAAAAGAAGGGCGTCGAGGATATAACCGACAAAGTCCAAACGCGTTGAAGGTGGTCTGGAGTGTGTCCCTTAGCGTTAGAATAACACGTTGAATTCTGGATCGGGGCGGTTGGGAGGCCACAATTTGGGCCGCTGAGCTGTCAGCATTATCCGAAAGATTAAGATCGTTGTCTGAATGCCCAATATCAACGAAAGGTCTCGGGATTCGTCTCACCAGAGGCGCATTGTCTGCTAGAATGATTCGAGCTACGTCTGAGCTGAGAGACGAATGCTAGCCGAAGAGAGACGAACCTGAGACGTAGTCCAACTCGTGTCTAAAGTCATTCCTCATTTCAACATCGGTGTGATCCTTCCCTAACTCACGCGGGCCTTGAGAATCTGCGGGGAAATTTGGGGCACAGTGTGACCCATGTGCCATGGACATTGGCCTGAGGAGCTTGTAGGGTGCAATAGGCTTCAGGTTCGGACGGCCCCTCACATGCCGGACTGCTGAGATTCTCTAATAATGATGATATTAGTACCTTAACAGAAGTTTGGAGCAGTTTTGAAAGGCCACCTACCAACGATGCACTCGCCGCAAGGTCTGGGGGTAGATTCGAAGAAATTGCATCTTTTGCACGATCTTGTCTCTTCTGACTAGCAAGGGTGCTAGATCTCTTGTAGAAATGACAAGCGGCGCGATGCCTACTGAGTCCTCAATTATCCGTTTTCCTTTCCCAGGAGCAACCAGGAGCATCACAAGATACCATTACTACTAGAAAGAGAAAGAAAAAGCCGGTCCAGATGGTTTCAAAAATGCGCATGGCGGCAGCACTCTCAGGCTAGCGGCTTGCCAGTGAGCAACATAGAACAACCGTGACAAGCAAGTTACTTAATGTCTCAAGGCGCACTTTGGCGGCTGGTGGTCACAGTATGATCACACCGTGAGAGTCACGCTGCAACTGGGGCAAGTGCATCATGATCATGTGATGGTAGTACTGTGACTTCTTCTACTACTACTACCTACGCCGCGGCCGCTGCCGCCGTCACCGAAGTCCTCAGGCTTCTAATAAACTCAGACTCAACTTGAACAAGCTGAGTCTATGGAAGTGTGTCACGGTGGACTCAAGTTCCAAGTCAAGCTTTGACTCGGCCGCAGTCCGAGTCACCAGCACAACTCCTCCACAATTTACACAGCGCTATGGTGCAACACGCAACCATCAAAACAGATGCACTAGGTATGCCTCTATTAAATTTCTAACATTCAAATCATTCACGCGCCTTTCCGAGTCAACACATTGATTTGAAATTGGGGGTCTATCGCGGTCACGTGACAGACATATGGACGCGTCTCAACGCGTCTGCGTGTTCTTTTTCCGATTGAGGATGGAAACCATGATTATTGGGAAATGGAGGGGCCAAGTTTGTATATTACATACTAGGTCAGTTTGCATCACTTGGTCTCTTCAACTTAGCATTGCATTTTACAGATATAATTTTGATGTGTCTATGATCTATCTGTTCTCGCGATTTTGAACGCGCCCCTGTGTGTAATCCGACTTGCGCTTTAACAGATTTTGAGTATCAATACAAGCTTGAGTGTGAATACGATCTCGTTAGATCAAACTCGTAAGTTGCCATTTACCTCCAACTTTATCATACATTTCTACTTCATTCGTGACTTGCGCTTTAACAGATTCTGAGTATCAATACAACCTTGAGTGTGAATACGATCTCGTTAGATCAAACTCGTAAGTTGCCATTTACCTCCAACTTTATTACTTCATTCGTGACTTGCGCTTTAACAGATTTTGAGTATCAATACAACCTCGAGTGTGAATACGATCTCGTTAGATCAAACTCGTAAGTTTCCATTCACCTCCAACTTTATCATACATTTCTACTTCATTCGTGACTCTCACCAGGTTCTTCAGTACTACTACATAGTTGATCATCTCCACCACCGTGTCCTCCATCACAAAGTAAGTCCAATTGCTTTTCTTAGGGATATGACCTCACAGATACCCTGCTCTTGGATAGATGACTCAGACACTGTTTTCATCAAGTATCGGCACTCGCAGATGAGCAGGAGATCACATTGTGGTAAGTATTTGTTTACTTGTGAGCATATTCTATATTCTAATGAGACGAAGCGCCAATGCGATTTCTTCCATGGCGCCAACACTCCGACCACACTCGCCAACGGTCTGGGCACTTCACCGACCAACCCCCCCCGCGTGAACAATGCGTTCGCCACCACAAGACGTGGACTAACGCGCTTGTCCGTCAGTACGAACGCGTGTTTACGCAAGCTCAGAGGTAGCTGTTTGCGCGTTGCCAACTGTATAAGCCCAGTTGGAAGCAGAGTAAGTTTACGTCGCTCATCCTGAACATCCGGTCTTAGCTTTCACACAGATATGAACAAATAATTGTGTGACGCGCCATCTAGTACCACTTACGAATCTCTGGACTACCACTATATCATCATTGTACTATACTCATATCAATCACACATAGTAAACCAGAGGTAGCCGCATCACAATTACTGTACAATAACTACACACCCCTCACATATACTATCTCAAACGATTACTAGTTCGTCAACAAGTTCCTGTATAAAACAATCATATTCAAATATCTAATGACTATGATAATGTGACACAACCCTCAGTACACTGCACCGACTCCGTGCTTTAGATGCTGGCGGAAAATGGCGATCGAAGACCAAGTCAAAAAACCCCCGACGAAAATGATCGTGATCGTGCATGGTATGGTTGTTAATAAAGACTGATCTGGAACCGTAAAGATCCCCGCTAAAAAGCCTAAAATAGATAAGGCCACGCTATTGAAAATACATATTCATCAGTACTGCGATAGGTGTAAATTATAGTGGGATATCTACCTCGTCGTTCGCAATAAGCTAGGAGCGCTATAGATGATAGCAACCTTCGTAAGGTGCTTATGCAAGTGCTGAGACTGTTAGAATATTTGTGAGAAACGAGTAGCAATGATTGTGTGTCTTGAACATACGGCAAATTCAAGAGATTTCATTCTTTGCCCAAAATGCTGTGCTACAACACCGGCGAAAATACAATGGACACTAAGGATCAGTGAGAGAGAGCATAGGGCTCTTGTTGTCATTTGGGAACCAACGTTCGGAATGGCGAGTATGCTAGCATCGACTGCCATAATAACGCCTGCCTGAGGAAGCACAAGCACACAGAAATCAAACAAATAGTACATGCTGATAGTACTAGGTCACTAACCAGGGTGCTGTGCTTGATATTATCGTCGTTGAAATGGTCGAGGAATGTCCTGATATCAAGCATATTGACTATACCGTCGACATGAAGTTTTTCGATGTGTTCCAATACTAGTACTGGAACGCCAAACATAGCAGCTGTCGCCAGCATAGATAGAAATCGGACATTTCATTTGAGTTCGCCGCTTCCTTCGATTGAGTGGGACCGCATTAGACGAGCTTCGGGCAAGCCATAGTAGTTGAGAAATTGGTGGTGGCCTTCCCTGCAAATTAAACATGATTTTTAGAGCATTGATATCCTGCAACTTACGTAGAATATTCCATATTCTTCCTATTAGTTTACGTTAGTCGCGATCGATTTTCGTACGAAAGCTGCAATTGACGTGAACGCACCACAAAATGCGACACCTTGTTCCTGTAAGGAACGATTAGAGTTGAGAAGGCTCTCTGTGCGATTCTGTCTAGCAAAAGAATAAGAACATGTTATGTGCAACACACCAAAGCTAACAAGGCGAGCGATCACTTTCTCCGTTTGATCGGTGCTCCAGAACAGTGAAGCCGCAGTTGATTGTTCGAGAGTCAAACCCTCTATCATCCGTGCTTTGTCTCAGCCATTGGTGATACCAAACACACTTCTTACCTGCTAGAAACCATTCTAAGTGAGCTCGTAGCTCAGTGGCATCAGAGGGTTGCATGCTATAATGTCTTGGGAAGAAATCAATGTGCTTCCTAACAAAAACTCGCGTCAGTATCCCAGAAGTCCCTTTTGTACCTTAGTATCATCGAGTTCTCACCAAAACTGTGCCTCTAGCTCCAGCCCTGGCACAACCGTGAAATGATTAACTTCCTCGGAATGCGTTTATCAGAAAATGAAACCTACGCTTGTGGTTCCACTCTCTCGCAAAGGCGCACTCTTGGAATAGAAGATTGGCGTCGAAATCCTCGAACCAAGCAATGATGCGGGCGTCCGGGACCACGCAATAATATTCGTAGTAGTCTCCGTCTTCTTTTCTTACAGGCTCGACGACCATATACCACATGTCTTCCTGTAATCGCCTGCGAGCTGCGCCTATCCAGTTCTGGAGATTGCTAAATTGATCATGTGAGCATTTTTTTAAGTTGCTTCCTGTATATGTTTTCTGTTTGACTGTGAGATACGCAACAAAAAAATTAGCATTGAATATTTACTTACCGTTGAGGCGTCGAAGTAATACATTACCCCTGAAGGATGTACAATTCCTTCCCAGACGCCGTAGCTTTGATTACTGTAGAAATAACTATTATTCAGTTGCGTAGTACAGTAGGAAAAGGAGTAAGAGTCATCTCACCTGAAACCATCCACTTGTTTGCACTTCATGGAGTAGTCGGCACCAAGCGTGGGATCACTGATCACGAAGAGATATTTAGTACTACTAGTTAGTCACAGTGACTGGCGGGCAGCTGCTGCGAATCGGATGGAAGAGACTTACTGCATCACGGCTTCTGAATACCGTCGCAACTCCGATGGCCATGATGGAATGCTTCGGTTCAATAAATCAGTGTCCATAGTAGTAGGAGTAGTATGAGTCTGGCTCAGAGTCATTGCCATCTCGTTTAGTGTCCAACTCGGACGTAGTACTCGCGACTAGGCATGGCAGGAGCCGTCTGACTCGGAATTTAGCGGAATTTCAAATTATTGGTGCAGCGGCACTGTGACGTACTAGTAGTACTAGATAGTACATCGCTACTTCATGCACAAGAGTCTAGCCTTCGATGAGCTGTGTGTCCTTTACGCGATTATATTATCGATGTGTTAAGGTCGTACTCTCGTAAGATCGGATCCGAAGGACTTCGGCCTCAGCTCGTACGCTGTGCCCCTTTCCCAAGTACTGTCCCTTATTTCAAAGTACTAACGATAACGCGTCCGAAGGTCCGGACGGGTCTCGTAGTATATCCGGAAGTCTTCCGGATATCGGAAACGCGTATAAGGCTAATCCGGACGTATCCGAACTAGAAACTAACAGAGTAAAGACTACCCGAAGGTAGAGCCGAGGATATAGACTATCGGAATCTATCCGAAGTCTCGGAGAGTGACAAGAGTAAGGAGAACTCAAGTCCGGAGGACAGAAAGAGGACAAACTAAGATGATATTCGAACTGAGGTACTACAGGACATATACACGAGTTTATATACTATGAGGATAACGGAAGTATCAGTAAGCAAGGGTCCGAGGCTATGTACGAAGCATGTGCAAAGGTTATCAAACGCGAGTCGGAAATGAGACATAGGTTAACGGATCAGTAATCATACCGGTAATAAGCATAACCGAAACACCGGGAAGAGGAAATACCGAATAGGCTGTGTTTAACGTTATATGAAACAGGAAATGAATTAGAAAGCTTATCGTAAATCGGATCGGAAGCGGATCTATACATCGGACCGGACCGGATCTCAGGGTCCGAAGTCCGGAAGAGAAGCGTGAATATATGGGATATGACAGTATCCCCCCCTTAGGGCCGATCCCTAGAGGCACAAGAACCATCGGTCCGGACCGGACGAGATTATCGCGAGATGATGGAGAAGCGTCTGAGTTCGGAATCGGACAGGTATACTCAAGGGCGGACGTCCCAGGATGATTCTTCCTTTCCCACTTTTTACTCTCTATAACGCTCTATCGAAAATGTCTGGCAACACCTCCGGATCTCAGAAGACTGCTAAGCAGAAACTGCTGGAGCTTCAACAGCAACTAGCGGACGCTGAAGCTGCGGCTCGGAAGGAGGAGGAGGAGATTCGGAAGCGTCAGGAGGCGGAGCGGAAGCGTGAAGAGGAACGGAAGATTCAGGAGGATCTTAAGAGGATTCGAGAGTCCGAAATTCGGGTGGAGGCAGAAAACAAACGGCGCAGGGAGATAGTAGAGGAAATGGTGAGTTTCGGATGGTTATGATGGCTTTGCCTGACGGATGAAAAGTCTCGTGCCATTTCCGCTGACAAGGACGGATCCTGCAAGCGTTGCAGCGACAGAGGCCGGACTTGCCTTTGGACGGATGCGGAGAGCAATGCTCTGGTGAGTTAATCCGTGTTTTTTTTTTCGGATTCGAGTGTTTTGACGTCCGGATAGGTCAAGTCTTGCGATATCTGCCGGAAGGACAAGGCTACGTGCCCCGGACGACCCGGAACTGTCAAGGTGCCCAAGGGCAAGAAGAGGAAGCATGCTGCCGGATCTCCATCTCCGAAAGGTAAAGGTAAGAAACGTCAGAAGAGTCCGACTCCTGAAGATCCGGAGGAGATGGAGACGGAATACGATGATCAGGCTTGGGTGGCCGCAGCCAACAGTATAGTGGCGGAGCTGGCTAGGACTAACACCCTTTTGGAGAGAAGTATTCAGGCGGCGGAAGGCAGCAGGGCTGCAGCGGACCGGATGAGCTCCGGAATTGAGCTGTTCCTTCAGCAACAGAGGGAATTTCAAGCCATGTTGTTCGGACATATTCGGAAGGGATTTCGGACGTCTCCGGGTCCGGAGGAGGAAGATGAGGTGATGGAAAGGGCGTCCGGAAGTGATGCAGGCGGATCCGGAGAGGCGGATGGGTCTATGGAGATGTAGGAATTTCTGGTCCGTTTATGCTTCTTCTCTAAATGTACTTGTATTTCGTATGCACACTATGTACTTCAAAGTTGAATAGGACCGGGTTTGTTCGGATATGCAGCGTGGAAGTCCGAAACTAGTTCGGATGCGTTACCGAGCTCCGTAGCAAGTAACCATGAAGTCTCCTCGTCCGTTCCTTCATATCCGGACCATCGGACGAGGTATAGGAGTTGACATTGTCTTCTCCGACGGTCTAATTTTGAGTCCAAAACTTCGGATATCTCATATTCGGGTTCTCCGTCGACTTCGACCGGAGGCGGAGGCGATTGGATACGATTAGGAATGGTATTGAGTGTGGCTGGTTCTAATTGCGAGACATGGAAAACTGGGTGTACGGAGCGCATGGAATCCGGAAGTCGGATGGTGAAAGAATGCGTACCCGGACGAGCTATGATTTCGAACGGACCTAAGTTCTTTTCCGAGAGTTTCTTGGACGGACGGGTGGATCGGAAGTATTTTGCTTTGACGAAGACCGGATCTCCGATTTTCATATCCGGAGCAGGTTTCCGTTTGGCGTCCGCAGGTCCTTGATATCTTTCTTGTGCGTGGGCCATTTCTTCTCGGAGGAACTGATGGAGTTCGTCAAGGTCTACTGCATAGTCTCGTGCGCGGGCGGATGAGAGGTCACGTTCCGGATGAACGGATAGGTTCGGATGATATCCCTTATTGGCGAAGAAGGGTGATACTCCGGTAGTAGCACTCGGAGCGTTGTTATAAGCGAATTCTGCCAAGGGAAGTAGTTCCGACCAGTTATCCTGCTGATAGTTGCAGTATATCCGGAGGTATTGTTCAAGGGTTTGGTTCGCTCGTTCGGTTTGTCCGTCTCCTTCCGGATGATATCCGGACGTGAAGTGGAGGACCATATCTAATGCTTTTCCTAAGGACCGGAAGAAATGCGATACGAATTCTGTTCCTCGGTCCGAAGTGACATGGGATGGAACTCCGTGCTTGGAAAACACGTGGAGGACGAATAGACGAGCGAGATCCGGAGAGGTAATGGTGTCGTGGGTAGGGATGAATATAGCTTGTTTGGATAGACGGTCGATTACGACGAGGATGGCTGTAAAGCCGGATGAGTCCGGAAGGTGCTCGATGAAATCCATGGATATAGAATTCCAAGGCTTTTCCGGTATGGGTAACTGCTTGAGCAATCCGTAAGGTTTGTGTCTCGGAACCTTAGCTCGGCCGCAGGAAGTACAAGACTTGACGTAGTCTTTGACATAGGTACGGATTCCTGGCCAAGTGTACTCGCGTCGGATGATATCTAGCGTCCGGTTCTGTCCGAAGTGTCCGGACAACGGATGATCATGAGTATTCTGGAGGACGCGAAGACGGAGATTATTAGATTCCGGAACATATATACGGTTGTCGCAGCGGAGGAAACCACTATCGTCCACCGTCCATCTCGGATCCGAAGGTTCCGGAAGATGTTCGGATGCGATAGGGTCATTAGGAAGTGCGGTCAGGATGTCTTTCCGGAGCTGGTCGATATCAATCAGAACGGCTGCCCTAAGAACCGGAGTTACTAGAGTTGAGGCTCGGAGGGACGAAGCTAACTGTTCCGAAGTGAATACCGGACGGAAATTGTGAGGGTTAACTCGAGCGTAGTCCTTATCCCCCTCTTTGGGATAGACGTCCCAGCGTCTAGTAAGGGAATCCGGTTTAGCTCCGAGTTTTCCGGGACGGAAACGGATGACTAGGTTAAACTGATGGAGGAATTCCGACCAGCGGGCCTGACGGCGAGAGAGGAGTTTTGTGGTAGAGAAATACTCAAGGTTCTTATGGTCCGTGACAACGTCTATCGGCTCGGCAGAGCCTTCAAGGTAATGTCGCCACGTCCGAAAAGCTTCATGGATGGCTAGAAGTTCCTTATCGTGAGTGTCGTAGTTGAGTTCCGGAGCGGTAAGCGTCCGAGAATAAAATGCCACCGGACGAAGCTCTGAGTCCGGACATACTATGGAAAGTATTCCGGCTATAGCGTAGTCAGAGGCGTCGGTTTCTACGACTATCGGAACATTCGGAATCCAGTGCGTAAGCACCGGAGCGGACGTGAAAGCTTTCTTGAGTGTTTCAAAAGACTTCCGACAATCATCGGAAAAATCCCAAGTAACCCCCTTGCGGGTAAGACGGGTGAGCGGAACTACGATGTCCGAGTAATTGAAAATGAATCGACGATAGAAATTTGCGAATCCGAGGAAGGATTGAATATCCTTAACTTTCCGAGGTTCCGGCCAGTCAACGATGGACTGGATCTTCTCGGACGACATGGTCAAGCCGTCCGGAGATAGGATGTAACCAAGGTATTCAACGGATGTGGTATGGAACGCGCATTTTTCGGGTTTAGCATAGAGTCGATGTTTTCGGAGACGGAGAAGGACTTCTCGGACATGTTCCTTATGGGATGCAAGGTCTTGGGAATAGATGAGGATGTCGTCCAGATATACGATAACGCATACATCCAGCATATCAGCAAACACGCTATTGACAAAGCGTTGGAATGCAGCCGGAGCGTTAGTGAGACCTTCCGGCATTACCAACCATTCATATGAGCCATAACGCGTTCGGAACGCGGTCTTCCATTCGTCTCCGTCCGCTATCCGGACGAGATGATAAGCGGATCGGAGGTCGATTTTGGTATAGACTTTAGCGCGGCTCGGAGAGTCTAGGAGGTCGGTAATGAGAGGTAACGGATATCGGTCTTTCTTGGTAATCTGGTTAAGTCCACGGAAATCTACACAGAGGCGAAGGGAGCCATCCTTTTTCTTGACAAACAGGACAGGAGCTCCGTGAGAAGAGGATGAGGAACGGAGGAGTCCGGAGGAAATATTTTCATCAAGAAACTTCCGGAGGGCTGCAAGCTCAACTGCAGATAGAGAATAAATGGTTCCGAGGGGCGGACTAGTTCCTTCCTCTAACTCGATTTTGAGATCATAGGGACGATGAGGAGGAAGTTGGCTAGCTTTGCCCTTATCGAACACATCCGAGAATTCGTGATATTCCGGAGGAATTCCGGACAGGTCCGGAGGATCGGATGAAAGGGAAGCGGACCGGAGGTCTACACCGGTCGGACGAAGGTAGATGCTGAACTGTTCCGATCCTTCCAATTTGCAGGCCCGGCAAAAGGCAACCGCATTGATCAAGGAAATGTTGGGGATGGTTTTATCAGCGGAGGTTCCGGATGTAGTCGGAGGAGGTAAATCTTCCATCGGAGGATGCGGATCCGGAGACGGAAGCGACGTCGGAGGTGTCGAAGGCATTCCATGAGAAGTCGTTCGGAAATCGATGCTGCCCGAAACCCAGTCAATCAACGGATTGTGTAGGGTGAGCCAGCTATATCCAAGAACGATAAAACAAGAAGAATCCAACGGAGTAACGTAAAACGTATCGGAGGTAACTACACCGGACGGAAAACAGATAGGCAAATCTATAGCTTCGGAAATCATATTATTACAAGTACCATCAAACAAACGGAGAGAAAGCGGAGATATCGGATATGTAGGAATTTTATTTTTTCGGACGAAATCAGAGTCTATAAAACAGTGAGAGGAACCACAATCAATTAGTGAAGGAAAATCAGAAATATCAGGAAAAGTAGGAATAGAAACGTATGGACAAAGAGAGTTCGGATCGGAAAGAGAAACAGCATTGAGACGTAGCTCCGTTGCACGGGTAGAGTCAACGCAACCCTCATCCCGTGCGGAGTCGGGAGGGTTGCGGACTATTTTTTTGCTTCATCCGAAGCCTCCGGTTTGTCTTCCGGAGTTACTACTGCAGCGCGGCCTTTGGCAGCGCGCGAAGTAGACTTGGTGCATTCCCGAGCCGAATGGCCGGGTCCACCGCAGAATAGACAGAGTTTGTTATCCATCCGTCTCTTACGTTCTTCGGACGTGAGCTTCCCGTCCTTTCCTAACTTGGAGGTAAGGTCCGGAGGTTTAGAAACGGAGGATGATGCGGAAGTAGCGGGTTTGTCGGATTTGTACCTCGAAGGTCCGGACGAGTTGGAATTCGTCCGATCGGACGTGGTTTGCTTAGGAGGAATGGAGGTGGTGGGTTTAGTTTCGCGGGCGACTTCTCCCTTCCGTTCCCAGTATCGAGCGTCGATAGTCTGGGCAAGGATCTTGTATTCGGAAAGGGTGGAAGGTTTACCCATGCGACTGATTTCGTCTTTGATACGAGCCGGAAGTCCGTTATAGAATTGGCGTCTTAGGGCACCGTCACCCCAGCCACGGACTTGTGAAGCAAGACGCTGAAATTCAACAACATATTTATTAATGCGTTGTCCGTCACGCATATGAAGTTGCTCCAATTGCATTTCCGCATCTCCGGACGGATCGTGCGGTCCGAAATTGGTTTGGAGTTCAAGCATGAACGCGGAGTAATCATCCATCCAATCCGGACGATCATCGTCCTCGTCGGCTAGGAGATCCGGTTCGAACCACTCGAGTGCCATACCCTTAAGGTAGGATTGGGCGAAGTTGACTTTTGCCCGTCCGGAACGGAAGGCTTTGGGTTTGCTTTGGAAGTGGAGCTCGCATTGGACGAAGAATGCACGAAGCTTCCGAGGCTCAGTGCCATCGAAAGTATCGGGCTCACGGATCTTGACTTTAGAATCTTCGGACGAGGTCGGACGACGATTGTTGCGTGCGAGATTGTCGATGGCTTGAGAAAGCCGAAGCATGACACGGTCTTGTGGGTTTAACCCGTCAAATTCATCATCGTTGTCATCCGGTTCATCATCCGGATCACCTCCGAAGTCATCCGGAGGGTTTCCACCAGGAGTATCTTCATCGTCCGGAGGTCCTTCGTCATCCGGATCACCTCCAGCAGGAGTGCGCGTAGGGGTTTCCGGATGCGGACGATTCATGAGTTGCGAAATACTTTGAGCAGGACCGCGTGATACACGGCGCTGAGAGAAACTGGTGAAGGCGTTAACTACGGATGTCGGATCGCGTCGGGTGGACGAAAGTCCGACAGCGTGCAAAGCGGCTTGGTTTACTTTAGTAGGAGCCATGATATGAGTAAGTGTACTTGGAAAGGTGTGAGTTCGAATATACTGTTAAGGTCGTACTCTCGTAAGATCGGATCCGAAGGACTTCGGCCTCAGCTCGTACGCTGTGCCCCTTTCCCAAGTACTGTCCCTTATTTCAAAGTACTAACGATAACGCGTCCGAAGGTCCGGACGGGTCTCGTAGTATATCCGGAAGTCTTCCGGATATCGGAAACGCGTATAAGGCTAATCCGGACGTATCCGAACTAGAAACTAACAGAGTAAAGACTACCCGAAGGTAGAGCCGAGGATATAGACTATCGGAATCTATCCGAAGTCTCGGAGAGTGACAAGAGTAAGGAGAACTCAAGTCCGGAGGACAGAAAGAGGACAAACTAAGATGATATTCGAACTGAGGTACTACAGGACATATACACGAGTTTATATACTATGAGGATAACGGAAGTATCAGTAAGCAAGGGTCCGAGGCTATGTACGAAGCATGTGCAAAGGTTATCAAACGCGAGTCAGAAATGAGACATAGGTTAACGGATCAGTAATCATACCGGTAATAAGCATAACCGAAACACCGGGAAGAGGAAATACCGAATAGGCTGTGTTTAACGTTATATGAAACAGGAAATGAATTAGAAAGCTTATCGTAAATCGGATCGGAAGCGGATCTATACATCGGACCGGACCGGATCTCAGGGTCCGAAGTCCGGAAGAGAAGCGTGAATATATGGGATATGACACGATGTCTGTTTGATGACCAGTAGTACTAGTACATCAACTACTAAGTTACTGTACTGCCGCAGCGGCGGCAGACCTCTTCAACATTTAGTGACTAATTCTACAAGTGGTAGTACTACGATACCCAATGATCACTAACTTGAAGTATTTGAGTCACGTCTCGGACACAAATCAGATAATCTGGTAGTGGTATAAGCCTTCACATCCACCCATCGCTTTGCCAAGCTTTCATCCTTCTTGATGACGTTGATGATGTGTCCCATCAATAAATCATACATAAACTTGAAACTTTCTGCCATGAAGTCGACTGCACGGTTAAACCATCCGGAAGAAAACTGCGTCAAAACGCAGTAAATTGCAGCTGCAGCCGTGCAATAGAGGTTGTCCAGATCATAGATGTAGTCCCAGTAATTGAGTTTCCTCACTACGCTGATAACCACGTCTAGAATCGCATTGTGTTCAAACGCCATCCATTGGTCAGTAATTTCGTCCTTCTTGAAAATAAATTTGAGAGGCCACATTACGTCGCCGATGAGGTCTTTGATCTTGACTTGCTTCAACTTTGATTCTGCTGTATTTGACCAAAGCGAGGGACGTAGATCGTAGGCTCGATCAATGACGATGAATGCCATCTCCTTGCAAGCCGCCATTATGAGCTTGGGTGGTGCGGAGAGCTTCATGTACAATGATCCGGCATTTTTTGCCGCCCAACGTTGACCAAAATCTGTTAACCCACTATATCAGCCCTTTCTTCAACGTTGGAATTTGACTTACCTTTGACTGTTTTTTTCACTGACTCGGCTGAGTCGGGTCGAATATTATAAGTCTTCTCTAAGCAATCATTGACTGCATTTGCTAGCGCAACCTGTGCCAAGCTCTCCCTTTCTGAACGTCTTATCATTGCACAGTCGTTAACCGCGTCCCAAATAAGCTGCTCCCTTGCAGCCAGAACAAAACCTTCATGTGGTGAGAGGTTTTCTTGATATTCGAGAGGGGGAAAATGGATATGCGGCATAGACTCAGTGGTGACCGGGTCAGAGGGCTCTAGCTGTGTCACTGTGAGCGCGCACGTTCGTTATGGAGGAGCACTTACTGAGGGGGTTTTGAACATTTTTCGTCGCGGACCAGAATGTTCGATGAATCGCCAGTCACCCTTGCGTTTTTCAGATGTTTGGCTACTCAGGTAGATGGGGGGTGTGAGGATCGTGAGGGGTTGCACATCATCTGGTGCTACTGATGGTAGTGAGGAAATACCGTCCATAGACATGACTGGAGCAGCAAAACTGCGCCGATAATCAGCAAAAGCTGGCGGCGGCTGTAGTCTGAGTGCCAGATCACTCGGACGGAGATCCTGAGATGGGACCATGACCGATGAAAGCAAACTGCCATCGTAATCGTTGAGGGTTGGCGGGGGTGCATTCATCTGCGCCGCACTGGCAACACCCGAATGTGGATTGGGTGGGAGTGATGGAAGCCAATTGCTTGGAATCAGTGTTTGCATGGCACCTGGATAAGGACCAAATGGGGTGTAAAGTGAATGAGAACGACTCAGATCAGGTGGGATGATTGGTACAAGTGCCGCATTTCCTTGATAATTGCCGAGGGTTGACTGAGGTGTGCACATCGAACGTGAATGATCAGATGGGATTGGTAGATTTTGAGGCGCATTGCCTTGATAATCGTCGAAGGTCGTTTGGGGAGTATGCATCTGTGTTACGGAATGTCGATGATGGGATGGTATCGTGACTGGTGGAGGCAGATGAACATTGTCACGATGACTCGGATCACCCTGATGACCACCGAGGGCTATTACTAGGGTTGACTGAGGCGTGTACACAGTCGGCGTCACAGAACGGGAATGATCAGATGGTGCCGCTGGTGCTGGTGCTGGAGGCACAGCTTGAGTTAGACTGCCTTGATAATAACCACTAAAGGTTGGCTGAGGCGGCTGGAGTGTTTGCATTTGCATGACGGAACCGCAACGTTCAAAATGGGGTAGGACTGGTGGACGATCATTGTGATCGCCTTGATCATAGGTGAAGGTCACCTGAGGGTCGGGCAGTGGTGCCGAGGAGCCTTGGACGAACGAATAACCTGTGGGATCACTGTCACGACGACGACCTGGAGACTGATGTTGCGTTTGTTGATAATGATGCTGTATGCTGAGGAGGTTGAGCCGGGTCTGAGTGTCTGTTGGCCCGGCCCCGTCATTATCAGGACCAGACCTGGCAAAGGAGGAATCAGGTGGACGATGACCATGACCGCCACCAACTTGTCCATCAAATCCTGGAACTGGTGAGAGGAATGATCGAATGTCTTCAGAGTAATCATAATCAGTTCCGCATTGTGGCATGTTCTCTGAATCAGGATACATCACAATGAACGGTCAGTGGTAAGAGGTGAAGAGATTATTGTTGGTTGAAATCAGACCAGAACAGCCGGAATCATTCTGCGATAGGAAACAGCTCCGAGTGATTTATGAAACTGCAAACTACAATACAACAACTTGAAATGAAAAGCAGCGAGGCACGAGGACTAGTATTCAAATTGGCGGTGGGAATGATACCTGGAAAGACATCACTGATATGAGTAATGGTGACTTAATCCATACATAAATCACTTACGACTACACTGGCACAGCCGTAACTCGGATGGCTTCCGATTTATCGTCACTATCGCCGATGGGAAATTGTTTTAATACAGCAATCTCAGCATCAGCATGATCGAGAGCTCTCCTGGTGCCATCTCGAGCTGCAGTAAGATATTCAAGGTGGACACCAGGATCTTGATGAGTAGCCGCTGCACGTAGCGGTTCCGTCTGGCCAACAAGCACATGCACTAGCCACTGCAATTCTTGCTCTGCCTTCCCAAGTTCCAAATCCATTTCATGATGTAAGGACTTGTCAAAGACGTTCAACCTTCTTGACGTCTCAAGCAGCCAGCCTCTGTATAAGTACTCCATGCGCAAGGTCTCACGAACCGCTTCTTTGTAGTGAATGGCGCAGTGGAATGAGTGCTTGCTCATATTCTTTACATGTGTTAATAACGCCTCCTGATCCTACAGATGTGACGATTATGTGGGAACTATATATGTCGAGTCACGGCGTACCTTGGTGCTCATACCTTCCGAGTACTGATTACACGAATGTCTGCGCAAGATATGCTCAGCACGATCATTTCTCTCTCCTGAGAAAGGTCGCCGGTGGCGATAAGGATGGTACAAATCGGTATGCCTGTTTGACTCGGAATTGCGGGTTGGTTCTTGATAGGAATATTGAAAGCCTGAAGTATCAGCAGCACATTTTTTTGCCACTGGCCTGGGACCGCTTAGAATTAGGTGTCACAGGGAAGTTATCGTCCTCATCCTCTGAGGCCATACTCCCGAGCTCTGGCACAGTTACAATATGTGAGTCCATCATCCACAAGATATAATGATACCTGAATCATCGATACCTGATATTCCAATTGATGGGGGAGAGCTCGGAGGTGAGTTTGAAGGAGAGTAAAGCTTCAACTTGTCACGGCTAGCCTGAAGAGTTGTAGGCATATAAGGATAGGGGGGAAGAACTTGACTCGAAGTTGGCTTTTCATCGTAGGAAGCAGCAGCAGCTAAGTCCATTTTTTTCCGTGGATGTGTTCAAGTTTTCGAGAGTCTGAGACTGCGGGCTCCGTGAGTGTCATGGTTTCTAGGTAATTGTTTAATAGGGCCAATCGGAGTTTGAAAGACCCATTCCTTGCTGATCTCCGGATGAGCCCTTACTGGTAGTCCTCAGGACCAGACATCGCAGCACTCTTGGGTAAACGTTTATACTTGTGCCACATCGTGACATAACTTGAAGAGGCTGTAATGAGTCTTTGTAAGTCATGACCCGGGTACGTGGTGCTTATCAGAAAAGTCAGAGCGCTTCCCACTTAATATTACTGTTCCATTCATGGTATAACCGGAGTTTCAAAGTACCTTTGCCATTTTTGGTGCTTGCAACTTGCAACGAGGCTAGCGCAATCTTCTCCTCGTCAGCCGTGCCTAGTCTGCCGCTCATACCGAACCTTGTATGGTGCTATAGGCAATATCATGCATCACATAACTCTGCTCTATGGCCGCAGCATATTGTCAGGGTCGCCGACTACAGCTAGTATAAAAGCTCAGTGACTCGGCCACCTGGCTTTTTTGAACGCCAAGTAGTAGGTTGCTATGTCTTACCACCATGATGTTGATCATCCACTGGCAGATATAACTTTCATCTCGACTCCGCCGGGTCTGGCTTCGACTTGGAGTCAGCCCTCTGGTTCGTTCAAGCCTTCAGAGGACATGCCCATCATCATGATGGCGCATGGCCAACCTGACTCGGGCATACTAGTACTCAGGTTATCGGATTCCGAGTCGACAGTGATGTTCCTTCAAGTTGACTCATCCGAGTCAGATTGGCCTGCCGGGGAACCTGAAGTTCAAGTTGAACCACCAAGTTCGCTGACATCTGCCATCACGATGAGTCCGAGTCAGAGAAGTGGGAGAAAAGGTGCTTTTGCAATCAACGGTGACTCAGACTGTCAGGCTGACTTGTCGCCAGAACTTCATACTATTACTAGTACTACTACTAGTATGACCCATCTCCCTCAGACTCAAGCTGCTCTACCGAGTCTTTCCGGCACTTCCGAGTCACGGTCACACCATGATGATGCGGCGGCGGCGGTTCAGAGATCCAAAGCGCAGTCTAGGTGTTCGGCAGCAAGTCTGAATGTGGCGACTCAGAAGGATCAAGACTCGGAAGTTGTAAGTACTCGCCGCGAGAAGCTTCCGCAGTCCTGGTTACTTACACTTTGGCCTGACAAGGACCCACCACCGGTCACGGTATCACAGAGTCCCAGTTCTGTACCAGCAGTGAAGCGCGTCATGATCCGTAGGGAGAAGACGGGTACTGACTGGCAGTCTGTCTTCGACATTATCAAGTACGGTGAAGAAAAATGAGCAGCCATGGATACCAAGGAAATGGGAACAAGAACAGGTGATAGTATGATGCAGTCAGTGGTACCCGGGTCATGATGGAGGTGATGATAGAGCAAGGGTGACTGGGCCTGTTGCACTGCGGTTGTGAAATATGGAAAGGTTGGACATGGTCATGATAATATTGATGATTCTGAAAGAGCTCGAGACTCGAGAGTCTGTTACAATTGAAAAAGTAGGTTACCTGGTGAAAACTGACATCTTGTAGTAGTAGCCATCGTTTCACCAGCGGCTGCGGCTCTGCCAACTTTACTACATTTTTGAAAAAGGCTACTAGCCTGAGTGGCGTGACACAGTCGACATTTCGGACATTACCAAGGGGCTTAGGGACTCGGATGTATCCGAAATCATACACCAGTGGCCACACTCAGCACCAGCAGCGAGCACAAGCAAATCGACGTTCATGATAGAACAAATTGCCCGATACTACCACGACAAGTTCACCTGAACCCACAAGGAAATTCAGAGCAGTAAAAGTGACAAAACTCGGACGATGACACGGAGCTTGGATAACTTCTTGAACCATGACCAGCGTGACTGCCATCCATCTCTGGCGAGTCAAGTTCGGATCTTTCGTTCCTGGAACATCCCCAGTACTATGTGGCTCATTCGTGAAGTCGAAGATGCTGGCACGCGTGCACCCTGGCGCAATGTACCGCCTTTTTTGTTGTCGACCCGCGTCTACACTGTCTGCCAAGATGGCCCGGGCATGTGTCTTGACCTCGATGTAGTATGTGGCTCTCATCTCCCTCCGAGTCGGTCTGCCGCAATACTGACTTGTCTTCAACATCTACCCCCTTGTGATACCAGTAGCTGTTCAGCGAGGCTCCCATGACCCATACATTATTGGAGGTGCAATCATAGCCTGAGGTCATCTCATATACTAGTCTTGAAATACCGTGACTGACGACTTTTACTAAGGATTAGAGCTTTGACTGACTCTGCAATGACTCGGATATTCCTCACTTTCTCGCTCTCCGTGATCTGGTCCTCTTCGAGTGTGCAGGAATTGAGGAGCTCCTGCCGGGTCTAGGCTCAGAGGCGCATTCTTTGTTTGTGGTTATGGCTACTCACGAAAGGACCAGTGCCTTGTGCATTCGGTTAAAACCCTTTGGCATCCTGCCGCATGAATTCAAGTAGCAGACACTAGTAACCCACGGCAATCAGTGCGTATCAACTTCACTGCGACAGCCTCAACTATGACTCTGATCTGCGGCCGCTTTGGTCCTCCCTAACTCAGAGTTTCAAGAGGTCTGTGACTGTTCGCTGGAAACCTCGTCCGTACTAGTAGTACTATTCGCTAATTGTTTCATCCAGGATACATTTCGAGGAGACGGTCGTACTAGTAGGCTAAACATCCGAGTTCCATCATTTACTACGTCGCGGCCGCTGTCGAAAAGTAACTCGTGAACCCCTGCGTTTGCCTACTTCTCTCCTGGCCACCAAAGATGATACTATTACCACCAGCTGCAGGCGTTGTGCTACTCCGAGTCATGCTTAATTCAACGTACTTAGCAATACGGCACGCAATGATTTCCTTTGCGTGCACCGCTGAAGGTACAACAATTCAGATGGTGAGTCTGAACAATGTTGGGTCTTGCAGAACCTAGCTGCTATTCGACCCTAAAGGGTTTCTGGACCAGGCTCAAGGCTCAGAGGAGAGGAAATATCATAGAAAACTACTGAGCACTCAGACTCATACTGGTAACTGGTGAAAAGATTGATTGATTATGTAAGCTACAAAAGTGCCAACATAAGGTAAGGTAAAAACAGTCTCTACAAGCCCAACCAGAAATGAATCCCTACATCTCATGGGAACTTTTAAATCATGACTGTCCCCAGTCATCTACTTATGCAAACCAAAGCTAAGCTAAACTTAAGAGAACTAACCTGGGGGTCCTCAAACACCTTTTGTTTCCTTGACGCGTATGCCAGGTAAACTGCGCCAGTGAGTGAGGGTCAGGCAATGCAATAAAACGATAATCCCCAGACTTTGCTTCTAGTACTGGAGGAGCAGCGATGCTAAAGTGAAAAATGCGCGATGATGGTTGCATGGATGACAATGGGGAGTAGACTGATAGAAAGAGGCGAACGAGGGCTTCGAAATGAGTATAGGGTTGACTAGGTTTGGTGAAGAACTGAGGGAGATATGAAGGAAATGGTGACAACGTGCGAAAATAGCGAAAACAGCGAGTAGCGAGGGCGCGGGTGGGCGTATCGGAAATCTGATCGGATGGATGGAAAGCGCGGAAAAATGCGGTCAGAACGCGCCTAAGGCGATGGGCGCGCGCTCACGGGGCGACGAGATATAAAGAAAGCGCAAAAATGGAGCGAAAAAATAGGGGGGAACGCGCAAATGCGAATAGCGAGCGAATGGCTGAGCGCGCGAAGGCGCGGATATGCGCGAATGAAAGCCATGAACGAGGGCTTCAAAACGGATATAGGGTCGATGGGGTTCTGAGGCGAAATGGGCTGGTGAAAGTGCGAAAAGTGCGGAGGTGTAAGAGGGAGGAGGAGGAAGGGGTATGGTGCAGGGCAACAAGGACTGGTCCTATCAAGAAGCTGATTGGGGCAATGGACAGAGCCACTGGTGGATGGTAAATTGCCAAAAGAGCTAAATGAGACAGGCCTTAGAGCACCCAGAAAACCCTTATCTCCCCTCAACTTCTCAAAAACACCAAAAACTCGATATCTCCACAACTACTGCTCCAATTTCGATGAGCCAGAGCTCAAAATGACCGGACGGACGAGGGGAATACGACCCTAAGTTTGCGAGAGATCCGCTCGAAAAACGCGTGGGAAAAACGCTTATCAATGCGCTGGGGAGGAGGAGAAGATGCTGAAAAGTGGGAATTGTGGGAGAAGCTGGTAATGAATGACTGTGGTGGGATAATAGGCGAATTTGGGGGATGATTGGAGAGCTGGAAGAGCCTAGAAACACAAGAAACCCTCGCGGTGGGCTCCAGTTGAAGGTACAACAATTCAGATGGTGAGTCTGAACAATGTTGGGTCTTGCAGAACCTAGCTGCTATTCGACCCTAAAGGGTTTCTGGACCAGGCTCAAGGCTCAGAGGAGAGGAAATATCATAGAAAACTACTGAGCACTCAGACTCATACTGGTAACTGGTGAAAAGATTGATTGATTATGTAAGCTACAAAAGTGCCAACATAAGGTAAGGTAAAAACAGTCTCTACAAGCCCAACCAGAAATGAATCCCTACACCGCAACTTGAATATTCTCATTATCATTGACTATCCTGAATTCTTTCTCTGTGACTCTGCGGCTCAATCCATCATGATGGTCCGGAGGAGGAAACACGTGGAGAATGTGACACGAAATCATTCGGTACGCGAGCACGCTTAGAAATCACAGAACGTTACTAATGTCCAAAATAGGGCATCTTTCAAGCGATGTATATTACACTGTCATCTAGCGATCTCCTAAACAGGCACTCATTTACAGGCCCCGAGTGACTTATAAGACGCAAGCTGGATAACCTTCAGACCCTTCATCTCGTACTTCCCCTCTGAGTTGTTCCTCCAACCGCTTCCCCCTCTCATCTTTCCCTTCCACCATGTCCAATGCCGAGGGCAGCACACCACCTATCAATGAATTGGTTGAGGGCTCGGGCAACGCGTCGCACGTCGAGCACCAGCACGCTGAGGGTACTAGGAGCGGCGAGAATCAAGCGGAAGTATCTGCAGCTCGACAGAGACGTAAAATTGCGCAGTTGGAGGAGAAACTAGCGACTCTCGAATCTGGGCGCGCCGTCAAAGAAAGGTATGGCCGCTGTTATAGGTGTTGAGTTTGGTTTCTCATTATCATGGTAATCTAGGCAGACGAACTATTACGTGGCTCAAGGAAGAGCGATCAGGCGTGTTGTCACTTTGTTTGATAGCCTTGAGGATCTAGTTGCCGAAAACGACCGGAGATACGAATTTGAAGAGGACACAGAAACTACTGCTGAGTACCAAGATTTTTCCTGGGTTTGTGAACACTACTCATGGTATGATTGCACAGTCATGATTGGTTGCAGATAGGTTACATGACATTCACGAAAACTATGCGGTGGTTTCATCAGAAGGCTACGGAGGCATATTACGAAGAATATGCAGATATGTTAAAAATGGTTGATTTTCACGCTATCAATGATTGCCTGGCTTTCGCTGAATTTTGTTTCCAGCTTCGGCGAGGGGCGGACGCTGCTCGAGGGGATGATACGTCCAAACTGAAGCCTCTCGTTTCTGAGTGGGTCAACCGCGAATTCAAGCCCGATCCTCCGGTCGATCCAGATGACAAGCATTCTCGCGGGTTCATTAACGATGCGTGCGGTAGGCTACTTTGCCCGTCAGAACTTGATTGGAACAATTCGGCGTAAGTGGTGCATTCAGAATCCGGAGAAAAACTACTCAAATGTCACCAGTGTAAAGGCTGGCATTAGAGATCGCGCAGATGGCTACACCGTGACTGACCTGTCCTTTCCGGCATTTGTATATGAAAAGTACACGGCAAATCCTGATGATCTGGAGGACGGGCTTTTCAAGGGTAAAATTCTTCTTCAGGTGTGTCACGGTGGTCCAGCGGCAACGGAAAGTTGATCTCATTGGCTCTCCAGGCATTCAAAGCAGTATTCACATCACCCTCCTCAGCTAAAGATGTCGAAGGGGACGGCGATGGAGCAGACGTTATCATCAGCAACAGACGTGCTAGGAAATCCTTCAACACAATCAAGGTCAAGAAACACGTGGCGCAGATCATCAAGATGGAGAAGGTCACCCCTCGGTCAATTGCATACATAGTGTGCCAAGTAAGTCAGCATTAGTGAAATCATTGATGGGATCTGATGATTAAACTGATAGGTCCGATTTGCGCTCTCTTCCGTCACCTCGTGGCGCTCTATTGACGGGGATTTCGACTATGTGCACTTCTGGCGGATTATTGTGGACTTTTTCGAAAAGCCCCCCGGTCGCGACACTCGGCTCAGGGCAGACAAGCTTCTGGAGTGGTGGACCAGGTGCGTTATTGACTGTCCCAGCAAGCCCCAACTGAATTCGCCGTCTAGAAAAATTTTTGGAAAGAATCGTCGTAACGACCTCAGCCAAACAGTGATGGAAAATATGTCTGTCAACGCTCTCGCAAGGCAAAGGGCAGCGCGCGCTGATGCTGTTTTTGATTCGCCATAGGACTCGGACGTATCTTACCGTTGTTTATAGCAAACCACCCGTAGCATACTTAGCATTCATAATCTTTGCACTAATGTCATAAATGGTTCGAAATTTGCTTCATGTGATGAGGATACATATGGATGGATATTTTTGCAGTAATAAGCTGTATTTCAATGACCGATCTCCAGAACATACAATTACAACCTCCTGAGACAGGCCGTCACCAATATATAACAGCGCCAAACAATAAGTTCCTCGTCAGCCTGAGATGCATGAGCAATATGCCGATATCTCGAATACACGCCTACAAAATCACCCTTTGGGGCACGCACGGAATTGCGATGATGCTGCAACACAACACACATTATCTGCTGGTCATTAGATGCTCGCAGTTTCAAGGTACAAGTTATGGATCACTCTCCTTATGTTTCATACCCTAAATCGATCGAATAGAAAATGAACTTTGCCGCATCCGTATTGTCTAGTTTCTCGATAATAAGCCATCACACATAGATGTCAGTGCAAAGCGGTGAGGTCATTGTCGGATGGACGAGTTGTATCACCACGATCTCAAAGGCACGTATCCATATTGTCTAGTTTCTCGATAATAAGCCGTCACACATAGATGTCAGTGCAAAGCGGTGAGGTCATTGTCGGATGGACGAGTTGTATCACCACGATCTCAAAGGCACGTATCCGTATTGTCTAGTTTCGCGATAATAAGCCGTCGCACATAGATGTCAGTGCAAAGCGGTGAGGTCATCTTTGGATGGACGAGTTGTGTCGCCAAGATTTTGAAGGCACACATCTAGGATTCCTCTGTGGGGCACATTGAGTACTAAATCACAGCGTCCGTGACAATATTCATATTACGTCAGTTGAATGATGAATAAGATAGCGAGGTAAGCCAATGCTCACCAATGTCAAAACCGAAGCTAAGGTACTGTACCATAAAGATACAGCATCGGAGCAAGCCGCCACTTCTTGGGATGGAAGCGCAGATTAGCCACACCTGCCAGTCATTAGGTACTCACAGAAGGTTGGGTGGAGTTTTGAAGCAAGATATAATTTTGACTGTCGTCCACTCGTGAACACACCCGAATTGCTGTGCAAAAGGTGATTTTTCCTCGCACGGATTCCGAAGTGGAATATATAATATGACCATCGCATTCTCACAGAAGGTTGGGTGGCAGCTCGAAGTGGGATATAGGTCGACGGTCGTTCGCTCAGCGAAAACGTGAACGCTACTTCGCACGGGTTCCCGACCGCAGTTTAAAATATTAGTATTAGACAATTGAGGAAGATGGTGTTGAAATATTAAGTAGGACCTGTGTTGCTCGTCGCTTGCTTTGGTGAGCACATTGTTGTTCTCTGGATGTGCTGGCGTGCAGGAATACCCTAGACATCGACGAGTTACTGTTGAACATCCCTGTATTTCAAACAACTGATATCAAAGTGCAGCAGAGTAATGATTTCTGTCGCTCGCTCCACCTTGATACAAATTAATTGCCACCCGCTTGTTGAACATAACTCAGCTGGTGCCCAAAGGTATATAATCTTCACACGCATTCCAAATTGACATATAGCTTACAAACATTAGACATATCAACAAACAAGTGTTCAAAGCCGAAACAAAATATCATTTTTGTGTCGCGCGCTCGGATGAATATATCCTCATCAATGGAATATATGGGCTTTCACTCCTACATTGAAAATTGTCTTGAAAGTGACGAAGGATTGCATTATCAAGGAGATCTATCAGGTGTTAACGGAGGGCTCACATGTACGTCTCCTGCCAAGAGTAACACATCCTTGTGCTCTTGAGAGATGCGCGATTTAAGTCTTAGCTTGGATACTGTGAACCTTACTAGCAATATGGCAGTCTTAATTCGTGTAGGTCGATCGTCAGCTTTGGTTCCCGCTTCCCTTCAATTTTTAGTTTCGACAATGCTGGGACCTTTGGCTGATCATAATTTTTTTTAAGAAAATCATGGAAGCGTCTTGCCTTTATAAGGCCAAACATAACAATGTGATTGACGATAGCAGAATTATGCTAGTTCTTGTGATTATGTACTATATATTGTAATGTATGGCCATCTACTTTCCTCACGGGTTCACTGATGTCTATGTACTAGAACCTCAACTTGAATCCGAGACATCACTCATTTCTGAAGTCTAAGTATAGTCATGAGTTCTGCCAGTCTCAGAAGTGCAGGATGTCTCTGGACATTTTGGACGGTTTGGTTGTTGGTAAGTTTCTGGTGGGCTGCCTATAGAGACAGCGATGTCTGTAGAAGTCAATAGATCAGCGCTCAGCTGTTGCGGAGTTTGAAGCCACCGGCGGCGTCCACCGAGCGCAGCGGTCAGAAGAGCCTATTTACTTGTAAAGTATGAATTCGAAATTCAAATACGTCTCACGGACTAAATTGGCTTTGTTGTCTTCAGTTCCAAACTTCGTCAGTGTAAAGGTTTGCCTAGTACAATGCACCTGTGGGGTGACAAGCCACCGTATGGGGACAGCGTGCAAGATGTGCGATGGTGAGCTCATCATTGCCACAATGATATTGAAAACAGCTGACCTACCTGCGTATAGTTTGCTCCCGGCAGGACCACGATGACAGACGGCGTTATGACGAAATCGTACAATTGGCTCGAGTAATGGAGCGGGGATCAGGTCCTGATCCGATCGCCGCGCCCGTCATCAAAGTATAATTATACAGCACTGTGTAATACTTGCTCAGTCACCCACTACCTATTTAATTAACAGTCTGTTTCGGAACACGACTTATCTCCCCCTCGTCCAAGCTCCTCTCATTTACAGCGCCGGTCAATGTCGGCCTCTCCTCCTCAAACGGTATATATTGAGAACTCCAATACTCGCGTACCCAATCGAGATGAGGTAGGCGAACCTCGTCTTCCTCAGCTCCACAGCGCCTCCGCGATTAACGACGAAAATCTCGATGATAAAATTCCGGATTATCTTCAACAGTCAAATGATGAATGGCAAGACGACCCCGTCAACCCCAGAAATTGGTCTCCGGCAAGGAAATGGACAGCCACTACAGTTGTCAGTTCTTTCATCAGAATTGGATATCTAACCATGAGGCTCAATTTTCGCTCAGCTTGCACTCTACACTTTTGTGACTCCATTAGCAAGTTCTATCATGGCACCCGGATTGCCAGATGTGGCTATAAAATATGGCATAACCGATCCAACAGTCACAGCGTTGACTCTCAGCATCTTCATTCTGTCACTGGCCATCGGTCCTTTATTTGCCGCACCCTTGTCTGAAGTATATGGTCGTGTGTGGGTGCGTCTTCCTCTTTAAGACCGGTGAAACAGTTTGCCTGAATAGTTCAAGATCCTCCACTTATCGAACCTCTCCTTCCTCGTGTTTAATCTTGGCTGTGCTTTTGCACCCAACACTTCAGCTTTCCTCGCCTTTCGGTTTCTAGGTACGTTATGGAACCACTACTATTACAAGTTCACTTATTCTTTGAAAAGCTGGTTTTGCGGGGAGTGCACCCATCGCATGTGGCGGAGGTGTCGTTAGCGACCTCTTCTCCGAACGCGAACGTGCCTCCGCTATGGCGCTATGCTATGTCGGACCCTTGATAGGTGCGTTTCACTGTCTACCATCTTGACGCAAGTTCATACTTCGCCAGGCCCTGTTGTCGGGCCCGTCATAGGAGGCTTCATCGCAGAGTCGCTCGGCATACAATATGTTTTCTATGTCGTCGCCGCGATATGTGGTGTCGCAGCAGTGATCGGCATTGCTTTTCTAAAAGAATCCTATGCACCAGTCATCAGGCTTCGTCGTGACGAAATAACTACGGATCTCGAAAAGATACCTGAAGGACATCCTTCCCTTACCGCACTCCAGATGAACAGATGGGTTTACTTATGGATCAACCTCAAACGACCCGTCATACTTTTGACCCGGAGTTTTATATGCTTCATCCTCAGCTTATACGTTGCTCTGTAAGTTTTATTCTATATCACGCAGCTAACTGATACCATTCATTTAGGATTTATGGTGAGTGCTTTGCATCCTACATCAAGTTATGGGCTGAAATCATCTGTCAGGCATCTACTACTTGATGTTTTCCACGTTCCCAAGTAAGATCATATTCGCTCAGTAACACGGAAACGAACACTAAAGACATACACCTAGCCCTCTTTTCGGAAGTATACCACTTCAATATCGGAATCGGAGGTCTGGCATACATTGGGCTTGGCGTTGGATTCATAAGCGCCGCCATCTTCGGTGCCAAACTTTCCGACAAGATGTACACGCACGTACGTCAAGACTGCCTTTACTTCTGCCGCATTGGTTAAAGTGTATCTTATCATGATGTAGTTGGCTGCAAAAAATGCAGGAATTGGTACGCCAGAGATGCGCATACCCGCTTTGATATTTGGTTCGTTGTTCGCCCCAGTGGGACTATTGTGAGATATGCATACACTCTACTTTTGTTGTTCCAACTCTAACCTACGTTTAGTTGGTATGGCTGGTCTGCACAAGCCCAGATCCACTTCATTATGCCCATCATCGGTACCGCCTTCTTTTCGTTCGGACTAATGACAACTTTGTGGGTGTACCTCGTATCAGATCACCATTCGTAGCTAACCTCAAGTTTGAAGCCTTCCTATTCAACTATACCTCGTAGATACGTTTACCTATGCTGCAAGTGCAACCGCAGCAGCTTCTGTGAGTTGCGCATACCCTAAACCTTGTCGGCACCCTCTGAACATATCATCAGACGTTACGTTCACTATTTGGCTTCGCATTCCCTCTCTTTGGACAGCAAATGTTCGCAGCACTCGATTATGGGCCAGGCAACTCCCTTCTTGCAGGTCTTGCCATCGTCATCGGTATACCATTCCCCATCTGGATATATTACGCTGGAGAACGTATGCGTGCAAATAGCTCTCTTGCTCGTTGATCTGTCTTCCTTTGATGTAATTGTATGACCATGATGAGATAGCGTATTGTTCGGCCCGAACAATTTCAGGGACATTGCACATAAAGTAGGAATAAACAAGTTATTTATATTCGGTTGCTGATATGATATGTAGTTGGGCGTCACGCGTCAAGCTTAAGGTTGCCTGTGAGATGTTGAATATATATCGCTTTGTGAGAATCTAAATGTCGCCCATGCAGGGTTCTCGGCCAACACCGACGGCACGCAGCACGTCTCGTGGAAACAGATCAGCACTCATAATTAATTTCCAATGCGACGGAACTATATATAATAGGACAAGATCAGAGTGTTGTTTTTTCCATTTGACTGTCCGAGCAACCTGCAAGCAGTTAACGTTAGTCTCTCAAATTAGAGCTCGAAAAGTCCCTCCAAGTCCCTCCAAGAGAACTTCACATTTCAAGTGACGATAATGTATCAAACTTTGAGCTTGAGAAGTCTCATCAATCAGGGGCCAGTATCATGGGCGCATGCAACGAGTTTCCGAAGTTATATATATATATTAGGTGCGTTTTGTGTTTATTATGTAGTTTAACCAAAGACTAAACAATGTATGTGGGGGCTTGGAATAGAACATGATGCATGACTAGTCGAGCCCTCGGAAATTATGACCTTCAGCAGCAAACGGGCATTGTCTGTGATATGTATCAATATCCCCAGTCAGGCATCTTGTTATACTTGTTCAATGCTCGCTCGCCCAGCGTCCAATAAATTTCAAGGTTCACGCGACACGAATGACGAAGGCGGGTAAGGCCTCGAGGAGTCATTGATTCACCAATGCGCTGTAGATCAATAGCGACACACTGGAAGTAGTGTTATAAAAAAAACAAGGCCACCAGCAAAGAGAATTGTGTGAGAATGTCATTGCGAAACAGCAAGGTAACATGTAACCAAGCCCTGACTCGGAGGAAGCAATGGCAGATGGAAAGGGTAGTAGAAGGGTTCAAGGCTGCTGTAAGTCGAACGAGAATCTAGACTGGTATTCCGGCATTACACATTTTGCCTTCTCAACTCTCTCTGCCCATAGAGCTTCCTCCCGCGTCGGAAGTCGCAACAGTTGGGTGTACTGGCAAACGCGGTTCTTCGCTGCAGCATAACTTGCGAATACAGTGTCAACGGCGAGCTGAATGAACAACAGATCCTGTTCATCGATCGCCTGGTCTGATCCGTCGACAGACATCTATGTCAAACTACTCAGTGCTTGCGGATAAGTTAATATTAAAAGGACTCCGTACCAAATATGACCACAACTCATGTTGGCGCTGTTCTCGGTTTGCACGATTGTTGGCGGACCCAATACTACCACCTTCATGAAGGGAGCCTGAAGGATCATGATGAAATAACGATGAAGACATTACAGAGCAGGTTCAATGCTTATTTGACTCAAATGAGTTGTCCATTGAAATATCTAATGGGAGATTTTGGTCGGAGTGGAAAAGAGTAGAAACCATGCCATGGCATGAGGTGGATATATAAGGAAACATTCCTTAATCAGGATGTGAGAACGAAAAATGCGGCAGACGAAAGTTTGAATTTTTCCTCAAGTCGCTGTACGCCTCTCAAACATGATAGCGCATCGAGTAGCAGTACTGAACATCAAATAGGATGATCATCGAATGCATTCTGCCCCTCCTTGTTTCTTCGCGAACGGCCATGGGCAAAGGTCGTTATTTTTCGCTGTGATCCCCGCCCTCATCTCACCGCACCACACCACACCACCTTGAATTCATCATCAGACTCGCACAACGATGAGCAGTTCCGCCGAGTTCTGAACAGTCAGCACTATATTTCAAGTTACCTTCTTCCAAAGCGCACAGAACAACTTGTTCTTCAAGGTACAATGTGACTTCAATAACTGCTTTGCACGCGACCAAGTGCCTCCACCTGGTGACCGCCGTGCACAGCATTTTGGCCCTTCCAGCGCCCTCCACACCCTCCAAGCATCTGATCGCGTTTTACCACATCCTCCAATACCTCTTAACACCTCGCCACCTTCCGAATCTGATGTGCGCGCATTGTACGAGCCAGCAGCCGCTATTTTTTTACCAGCGCTTCATTCACATCAGTAAACCGGTGAGTTCTTGCTGGGGATTATGCTGATTATGGTGCTTTTACATAGTCATATATTGCTTTATATCACTTTATACTCCAATGTGACGAAAACCTTTCCTATATATTACGATATATAACGATATATGACGATATCTTCTTCTCACAGGTTCTCTGATGGCCACGTGTCTACTTCCATATGCAGCACTCATATCTCAATTCGGTCGTATCTCATGGAATGTGGCCATACGCCAACAGACACATCTCCCTTGCTCTGGGCATGAAGTTCGCTCAAGGTTGGGTAGCATGTGTATAATATTTTTATGGCCAATTTTATGTCATCTGCACGGCGCGGTATCTGTGTGTAACATGCAAAGATCCCTATTTGATTATATAATGAATAAGAGGGACGAACACGCATGTACTTGGATCACCGATACTTCATTTAGTGAGCAGCGCTTCATTGATTCAATCATCTAAAACTATTCTATGGTACTGAAATCACCCCATGATGCTTAGTGTTCGGCACGCGAAATATGATGTTATTACAATAGTTGGGAGCCGAAATACTTCGGAAGACCTACAGCTCGGCGTGGGGGTTTCCATCCGGATTGTGGTGAGCGTCAGATTCAGATATTCGGTTTATCCCAAAACGTTCAAACCAGTGATTGTACTAGTAGAAACAAGGTACGGATGCCACAAAACCTACCTGTATTATATATATCAAAACCCTGACCAAACAAAGGTCCTGTTAACAAAATTTTGTGTTCAAACTTCGGTTCAGGACTGAACGGTAGCAGCGCTAGTAATGATGGCTGCTTCAATGAATAAACACCTTAGACTCAGACCTAGTAACATCCGGTATGACGACATTCAAAATTCGTTCAATTTTCAACTCACTTTATAGTACTGCCCGGGCCCAATTCAGTGTCAGCCCCAAGGTGAAAGGCTGTATCTGCCCACGGTCCATGGAGTGACAGCACCCGCTTACACCCCGATACACATCAATGTGTTCGTTGGAATTTTTACCATCTCTATCATTGTCGTTCTCCTTTCCCAAGCCCACGTTACAGACGCAACAAAAACGGAGGCCATTCTTTAGCATCCAACTGACAGAACAGCGGTTCCATACTCAAAATTTCGCATCCGAACTTCGGTTCAGGACTGAACGGCAGCAGCACTAATAATGGTTGCCTCGATGAATAAACACCTCGGACCTACTATAACACCGGGTATGATGACATTGTTTATTCAACGCCGTTCAACTCATTGTACTAACCCTACTAGTACTATCCAGTTCAGTGTAGACTCCGTGGTGAAAGGCCACTGGCAGACAGATTTGAAAGGTTGCATCTGCCCATGGAACAGCACTGGCTTAGACCTCGATACACATCGACATGTTCATTTCAATCTTCACGATTGTTGTTATCTCCCTTCTCCTTTCCCAAGCCTATTATATTATGGCCGGCGGCCGCCTCATAACAGGAAACCGTCCCTCATTATACATCTAACTAAACAGAGCCACCATTGACAAAAGTTCGCATCCGAACTTCGGTTAAGGACTGAACAGCAGTACTAGTAGCACCAACAATGGCTTGGCTGCCTCGTGCCTAGTCACGAACATCTGGTATGATGTCATTCAAAGTTCGTTCGACTTTCAACTCATTTTACTAACCCTACTACTACTAGTACTGCCCAATTCAGTGTAGGCTCCATGGTGAAAGGCCACTGGCTGACAGATTCAAAAGGCTGCATCTGCCCATGGAACAGCACTCGATTCACATCGAAATAATTGTTCGAATCTCCATGATTTTTGTTATCTCCTTTCCCAAGCCTATATTATGGCCGCCTCACAACTGGAAACCGTCCTTCATTATACATCTAACTAAACAGAGCCACCATTTACAAAAGTTCGCACCCGAATTTCGGTTAAGGACTGGATAGCAGTAACACTAACAGTGGCTAGCTGCCTTGGGCCTGGTAACATCCGGTCTGATGACGTTCATAGTTCGTTATACTTTCAGCTCAATTTACTAACCTTAGTACTGCCCAATTCAGTGTAGGCTCCGGTGAATTCTGGCTACTGGCCGACACATTTAAAAGGTCACATCTGCCCATGAAACAGCACTCACTTAGACCTCGATACACATCGAAATGATCGCTCGAATCTTCACAATTTCTGTCGCCTCCCTTCTCCTCTCCAAAGCCTGTGTTATGGCCGCTGTTATTACCGTTGCTAACACAACCTCAACCAATTCGATCGATTGTGGTGATGGCCAGCCTTTTTGCTGCACAGAGGTGAGGAAGATTCATAAATGTAGAAAGATACCTGTGCTTACCTGTGTTGCAATAGGATCGGTCTCGACTGGGGAATGTTAATGATGACGAGTGCCAAAGCTACTCAGAGAATTGTTCAAGTGGTTACTTACCATCTTGTTGCTACATCGTGACCGACATGAAGGTAAGTGTCACGACTCGACTCCACAGCTCGGTCAATCTCAATTTGGAACAGAACTATTATTACTGCGAGGAGGGTGGACAGTAGGGTTGTCCGACATTTTGAAGCACGGTACCTGAAGGACATTCGTCGGGTTGGATTTTTGAACGGACTATACCATAGATTTATCTTGAATGCATAATATTCCACTCAGGCTGGTGCAAAAAATGTTCCGAACTTCTGTGTCATCATTCAGTACTTAGTTTGAACCGCCAGTAAGCTCATCGTGACCGGTAGCAACATCTAGACTCGTGATAAAAATTAAGCTCTGCCTTGTACGGCATAGGAATATAGAATATCATTATATTTCATCAACTAGTCTCGATGAGTGAAAGGCGCACCAGGTGTCGGAAGGCGGGAATTGGACACATGTTATCAGAGAACCGATGAAAAAAATGAGAAGATTATTGAGAGTGATATAATATACTAGCAGAGCACCGCAACGATGCACCGGTGCAACCAGTCGACTTCCCGCAGACTATCATGTATGTAGGATGGCTGATTCCGCTTGAAAAGGCAACTGCGCGTCATGAAGCCGCCCGCCATGTACGTACGCGTCGAAGCGGCTGTGGAGCTGCTTCCTGAGCGATTTTCGATTCTCTATTCTGTCGTCGAAAATTCTTCGAAGACAGAATGTGCGAGAGGATCGACATATTTGATTCCATCTAACATGAGCCTGTAGGCAACTGTAGCGGACTTGCAACTGCAGTACCTGCCAGTATTAGTGAGTAGAGGCCAGTACTTAATAGGCGCCTAGGCATGCGGCCCAGTAAGAACTTTGTCACGTTATGTAATGATTTGCGGTCACTGCATCTCACATTTCCCACACTCCTCCAAGTCCTAGCACATCGTGCCTACCACCATACACATCCACCTATCCACTGAATATGTATTAGTGCTGCTCATGCACTGCATTCCGCTACAATTCTCGCAACACGTTCAACTCGGTTGCTCTTGCACGTCATAATATCGTGTAGAATGTCACATGCGAACGCACATTTGATGAGCTTCACGACATCATGAGGACTTTCTGCTTGGTATATGGTTTGGACATCAATGAATACCACGAACGCCAAACCAGAATAGCCACTGTGAGTGTAATGCCCTTTTTTTGACAACTCAAATATTTTCCTTCAGAAACTCTGCCACGTCACTATCGCTGGTGAAGGGGCTGATGCCAAACGGCTCCTTGCCAGAGTTCAACGCATATCGAGACTCACTCTAGAAGACACGTCAAGTGGTATTCTTTCCATTCTATATTCTAGTCTTATTGTATTAATACTCACTACTGCAGGGCTACAACATCGAGACTCAGTAAGTACAATTGTGGCTATTACTATTCATATCGCGCAATCATTTGTGTGTTATGTCTAGATAGGTCGCCGACTGCATGTGGACCGCAAAAATAGTCAAAACTCTCACGAAGCCCTTCATTGGCACACTCACTACATTAGCCAGGTAAGATCGTCAGCAGGCGAGTAGAGTCGAGCATGCATGTGGGTGACCCATTTTTCTCGTTGCTTTGTGATCCTCGAAGAGCATTTTTTTCTGTCAATTTGTGTCGATACATTCTGAGAACTGGACGCAAGCCATCTATTCCTATTCAAATATACGGAAATCTAACTACTCGATGTTTCGTAGGTGGCATCAAGCAGCATCACTACCCATCTGAGTATCGACGGAACAATCTACGAAGATGGTGCTCGAGCAGTTCTATAAAGTGACCATCTTCCCAGGTTGGTTTGCAGATTTACGGATACAGGTAATCAGTGTAAGTGTACATGCAGTGGATTATTAAATGTATACAGCAATTACTAAAGCTACAGACGCAGATATTGGTGATACATAAATAACCAGCAGCCATAACACCCGCTGAAGTTTTCTATGGCAATAGGCTTACTCATAATAACGATAATGATGACGAAAGCCACGTAGATAGCACTATTATATGTCAGAAATAGATAATGTCTCTTATGTGAAATCAGACTAGGTCCTCGTTGGCTCAACGCCAACTAACATCAACCGTTGCACAGCTTAAAACACCAACCACACCCCGCTCACGACGACACCTAGTATAACGCTCATACCACCACACAAACTCCTCGATGCGCCGCTCGTACTGGTACTGCTAGCAGCCGGCATCATCGTAGTTGTAGTTGTAGTTGACGCCTGAAAGTGTCATGCGGCATCAGAATCGCCATCACAACAAAAAATGATCAACACATACGGACGATGATGAGGCTGTTTCGTTGACCTGGATACCAGGATCCGGGTCTGTGCCTGTACTGGTAGCTGCTGACGTGGGAACCGCCTCAACTGGCCCAGAAGAGGTTGCGCTGGCATCCAATACATGAAACATAGGACGACCAAATTGTGGTACAGCAGAGGCTGTGATTGTGTGATCAATATGTGTTCGAAGAAATACAGCGGCTGCACGTACCAGACATTGAAAACAAGCTGAGCGTTATCATGAACGCTGATACGGCGGTGATAAACGTCGAGCGGAAAATGAACATCATCTTGGCTTGCAAGTAGAGTTGAAAGAACGAATGAATGAGTGAGCGGGCGGTAGAGAACTCAAGGTATTGTTGCTGATTGACGCTCCGTTATAAGAAGAGAATAAAGGAAGGCGACTCTGAGGCTTGTAAGTACGAGCAGTTACTGTGCGGTTAATGCTTCATGACCCAGCTATATAGCCCTTATTCCTGCTACAAGACGCGTCATATAGGGAAATTGCTGCGAAGATGGATGTCATCGATGAGAAGTATTGCTGTCTTCAAAAGAATGAATATTAATGGGACCAGACAACAAATGTCATGGGTACACTTACACTGCGGAGTTGTAGGGCAAATCAACCCGCAGTCTTTGTATTATTTACCAAACTAAACTGGTTCCACGTAGGGCGAATCACTTGGTCGCATGCTGAATACAAGGAGTTGAGTAACTTCTGCGAAGTTCTTGACAAAGTGAGTCCCAAATACGGAAACAAGGCTGCGGCGTAAATGCGTGTGGGAAACCCTAACCCTAGATCATGGTTCATTATTCAAGACGAGGATAATCTGGAGCAAGGTGAATTGATAGAGCCACAAAATAAGGTACTAGTAAGCTAAGAGTGCGCACTGTAGGAACAATTGGAGGAGTAAACTCAATCGACATCATCCACCACTCCCGCCGGACAAGACTGAGGATTATTTATCGCAATAAACGTCACGCCCCCAGAATTATTACTTGATTGGCTTGATGCTTGGGAGGGATTGGGGGTATATGGCGGCTTTGGCTTGCTCTTTGGCTTTGCGAACTTGCGCTTCTGCTGCCTGCAGAAATCCCACAGTGCATCAAGGGCGTCGCAGAGGAAGACTTTACTTGGTTTCTCAGAAAGCCTTTGCCGTCAGTTTAATCAATTGGTCTCAGGGATGAGTGGGGAGGAACACACCGTCCCGTCATCTCATCCACTATATCTGGTGCACCCAAGAACGGCATCATCTCAACGATTACAGTATACACTTTCAGCAACATCGACATCCCTCCCTTAATTGTCCGGCCCGCTTCTATCCAACCCGCAAGATGTGCCTTTAGGTTTGGACGGAAATCTTCCCGCAGGTCATCCAGATCCGGATCCTGGATATCCATGTCAATGTACCCGAGCGGGTCGGCATCGTCCATAGCCCCTTCCATCCCAGGGGGGAGAGGAAGCCCCATCATAAGCGCCGCCAGTGCCATCGGATGGGCAGTGTCACTTGTAGGTGACACTACAGCTCCCACCCAGCGGTCAATTCGCCCTCGTCGCCCCAGTGCCTCCAAATGCAATGCCATAATCTCAGTCAGCTCCGTCTTATTGGCCTGAACATCAATATGGCAAAATGCGTTCCGTACGGCGGCGTGGATGGCGTGCACAGTATCGAGCAGCTCTTTTTCGATGATGCGCAGTGCATTGAGCTGATAGGATGGTTCTGTAGCAAGTATTATGGTTGCAAGCTGGTGCGCGGGCGCGTCGCAGGGACGTAGAAGGTAAGAGTGGCTGGCGAGTAGAGTATTGATATTATCTGTATGTGAATGCAACGCACATATCTGCAGTGCTGTGGCAAAATTCTCGGGGCTGTAGGTAGCTATGCGCATGAGTGTGGGGAAGAGCTCTTCGCAAAGGTCATCCTCGTCCGTTGCATCCACTTCAGATATGTCGCTGATACTTGCAAAGAGAATTGGACTGGGCGAGGTAGCAAAGATAGAAATGAGAGAGGTGCGAATGAGATTGCGGAGGGAGGTGCAAACGTTGTTGAACTTGCTAGACCAATGAGATGCGTGGGAACCACAAGGACATTGAGCATCGCTGCAAGCGGTGCCATCGGAGTTTGCGTCAGTGTCAGTGTACTCTTCGCTGTAGTCATCGTCATAATCGACATCATCATCGAAATCGAAATCGTCTTCGTCGTCATCGGCTGGTGCCATGGTGTAAAGGTCATCACAGTTTAATCGAGTCAGTGGAGCTTACATTTTTGACCACCGTAGAGTAATAGCTCGAGGGCGTTCCAGCCAAATTGGGAGCGAATATCGTCTAGCATATCTGGAATGGCAGACTTCTGACGCTTAGTGCCATCGGCAAGCATGACTACGAAAAGGTCGCGCCAAATCCAAAGCATGACACGATCGAGGTTGTGTGCGCCAGTGAAATGGAAAGACTTGACGACCTTGCCAGAGGAGCGCCTGATCTTTACAGAGATGTACATGTTCATAAAGGAACACTTGCACCTGAAACGATATAAGTTACACCAAGGAGGACATGAAGACACCTTACCCGACTCGCGCGTCACCGATCTGTTCGATTGCTTTAAAGGCGTACAAAAGACAATCATGGGCCTTTGAAAAGTTTGTACCGTACTCGTATACGACTTTCCAGATATCATTGAGCCAGTCGATGACGCTCTCGATGGCTTCTGCGAGAAGTTCTTCTTTGCGAGACTTTTCCTTCACATAAGAACGTTTGTGATCGCGGGCTAGTTCGTCCAGGAGTGAAGCGATCTCCAATTTCTTTGCTTTCAGGTTCAGGGATGGCATGCTAGCATATGTTTTGTGCATGCGTGCTGCTGATGCAAGAACGAGGTTTGATTTCGGTTTGGAAACTACATCGAGGAGGGGTGCAAGTGAGTTCTCGACAAGAGCATACTGTGCATCGGCTGGAAGGGATTGGTAGAGCTGTAGAAACCTATTAGAGTGATGATGAACCGGAACTCGTGTTATAAACGTAAATTAAGCTTACTTTGCACTGGTTGAGGTGGACGCCATCAAATGGGATTCGGATAAGTCGGAACTCGCCAGATCATCGTGTCTTCCGTAATGTGACATTTGTTCTTGTGACCGTGTTTCCATTCTGTCCTTTGGTGAGTATTTCTGATATGAACGTAGGAAATCCAGCTGGCCCCAGCGCTACTAGCTATAGCTGGCTGATGCGGCGCCTTAACCTGGCACAGGAATGAAATGTCCTGTGAGATTGGACCCGGACTTCCTTGTAAAGGCTTTGCCTCGAGGCAGCGCTTCCAATATCACGGCCCTTTTCCACCCCTACAGTCTGTTTGCAACGCAGCAAGCCACGTTGGAAACGCGCGTACGTTTGAACTTGCGCTGACTGGCGCATTCTTCAACTCGTTATCTCTCAGATCTATCCTTTGCTCTCTTCCACCATCAACAGCGAACACAACAAGTCATCGAGAGCTCAGATACAATTAGCCCATGACAACTTCACAGTCCCCACATAAACAAAGAAAAGTCCAAATGTTTTCCGGTGTTCAAGGTTTGTGCCATTTATTTTTTGCTCTCGTGCCTGTTGTTCCCATCGCAGCCCAAGTGTGGATCATCAACCATCACGATTAGCTTGTTCCGGGCGTTCGTGCGTTACCGATACATCCTTCACATCATCGTCTATTTTACGTCTACTACTACAATATCACACTTCTTCCATTGTCATTCACTAGTCGTTATTACAACGCTAGCGGATCTTCTCTTATCCAATAACCGCTCCAAACCCCAAAACTGACCCTTTATATCAGGTTCGTCCCAGAACACCCCACCTCGTGAAATGTCCCCATCTCCAAGACAAAGGACGATCAAGGCCCAATCTCTCCCTATCGTACCATCCGTCATGCAGATTTACGGAGCAGCAACTCAGTCTGCGAATCAGCGTCAGGCACAACAAGCGAGTCCGACTACTGCAAACATCCCCCCGCAGTCAAAACGAACCTCCTCTCCGCCGGCCCTGACGCAAGCCGCACCCAACGTGACTAAACTTCCATCTCCACTCAATCAGCCGTCTCATCTCCGAGAGGAAGCAATTCAGAGGCATTATTCTCCTTCGGCCTCTATGCACCCTAACATGCATCAAGCACCACCTCCCCAACATTCGCTCAGCCAGCCCAACATGCATCAGCCTCCTGCTCTACCCCAACACTCGCTCAGTCAACCCAACATCCACGCTCACCTCATGAATCCACAAATGGGTTACCCACGCCCTATTAACAGGGTCCCTCCTCCCCAGTTCTTAACACACTTCCATGCAATGGAGGAGAATTGGCACATGACGGAAGAGCTCATGGCAGAGATTGAGCGAGCAGACTATGCGCAGGCCCTGAGTCAGCAGCCACCTGTGCCTGGAATGTCTGGCGTCGCCTACGCTGGTGGCGCCGCGAGCGGCGCCGTGTACGTACGTGAGGTGCCGTCACCTCTCAAAGACCCCGTCGGTGATCGTGTCCGCGCGAACGAACGAACTAGTCCAAAAGATGCAGACGGTCAGGGGAGCGGCGGCATGCAGCGCTCCCGTTCCATCCGCGTTGTCGAACGCGAGAGGGAAGTGCAGCCGAGCGATAGTGCTCGTGCACGCGAGCGTCCCCTCCCGTCTAGTCAGACTGGGTCTCCGTCCTACTCACCCTTGGGACACCGTGTGCCCTCTCCTGAGCGCACTTCTCCCCCTTACCACACGCCTACTGGCTCGTCGGGCGGTGAGAGTGTGACTGCAGTGGACGTGGACTACGTCTCGTATAAGCGGGACTCATATCAATCTAATGGAAGCTCTTCCCTCAGGCTTCCCAGTCCGCCGCCCACTGTGCGGAAAGCCATTGTCACCGACAATGCTCATGTCACGCCGCCTGCGGTCAGCAAATTTGCAAGCAATACACCTCCCCTGCAGGCCATGAAGACCCGAACTCCCGACAAGTCGCTGCCTGTCCAAGAAGAGCCAGAAGACGATATCGCAACCTCTAAGAACGGCGATGACTATGCTCATGGGAATGACTATAATGAGGATGATGATAATGACACTCTCATAGAAAATGACAATGACTTTCCCGTCGACGGTAACAGAGACCACGACGGAGAACTAGAATCGTATACCCCACGCTCACCCACTGCCAGCTTACCCGAACCATACTCTGCCAGGCAATACCCCACGCAGCCCGCAAATCAGCGCCTCTCAAGCCTCACAAAGCACCATCGCAGTGGTAGCACAGACCGTCTTGGCCTCCGAAGTTTCGACGCAGCCGTCTTTGAAAAGCCTCCCATCAGATCTACTGAGGAGCGCCGTGAGTCACCTGCACTTCCGGTGAGGCTGACTGAGCAGATTGACTCTGTACCAGAGCATAATCTGCGGCACGAACACAGCCGCACGTTTTCTGACACTCGTGGTGCAGAACAGCAGCAGCAACATCAACCGCAGCAGAGCAATGGACGGCTGCACCCACTTCAAAATCAAGTCTACTCGGATGATCAGAATCACGATGATGCTGCAGCTGCCTATATATCGCATTACTTCCAGTCTCCTCGTCCAGTTGCGCCCATACCGCCCACGCCTCACAGCCAAACTGCTGCTCCGTCACCATTGATATCTAGTATGCAAAGCATGCAAGCCAGCCCGGCACCTCCAGTAGGCTCGCCCTATCCGTACCCATTCTCTCATGTTCGGCGCAACAACGTGTACTCTACCTATCCCATTCACACTGCGCCTTCCTCCAACTACGACCCCAACCATCCCTCGGTGATTGAAGAGCAACTTGCTCTCCAGATGCAGATGTACGCTTTGAACAACCATGCAGCATTATCTGACTCCACGTTCTCACCATCGTCAACGCCCTTCCCTGGGGCTGGATACAACCCGTGGACGTTCTTGCAGGCATCTCGTGCGTTCGGAGGAGGCGTACGGCCACGTTTTGACTCCACTGCAACGATGAGTATCCAGTCGAGCCCGAGCCATCAACCGGTCAGCCTTCCGTTCCCGACTGGCAAAATCAAGCGCCGTCAGGCATCCGCGGATCTGCGAGTCCAGAGCACGATTCGGAAGCGGAAGATCAAGCCGCCGCCACGTGTGGACAGTACACAGCCACGGGACACGAGTCCAGAGCCGTACTCCTCTGGTGAGGAGACCGCTGGCGAGGAACGCTTTGAGGTTGCTGAAGAAGGGAATTGGGTGAATGGGTTGGTGCCTGATGATGGCACTGAGTGGGTGGACGAGGATGAGGATGACAAGGATGAGTTGTTAGACTTGGAGTATCACCCGAATTACGTCAACAACATCGAAAAGAGACGGAGGAGATGGGATACGCGTTGGGAAGCTCTGCAGCAGGCGGTGAGCCGACTTGTTGTTAAAAGTCATGGGTGGGTGCTGACATTTGCAATCGTATTATCGTAGTTCGAAGCGCTTGATTGCGAGACTGATACGACGATGGTCCTGCTCGCTGCACCTTCGCATTCTACAAAACTACATGCCTTGACATCACGCTCTATTCGTCGTGAAATAGGGACCCAGTCTCCGAGCATGCTTAACATCCGAAACTCTTTCCGAGGCATTGCTGCTCGCCGACGAGCATCCCGCGCCAAGGGCACGACGCTTGTTGAGAGGTTCCTCAACTCGACTTCTTCTGGTGATGGTTCCGACTGCAGTTCGGAATCACGGGAAGGCGACCTCAAGCGTGCGCTCGAGACTGCTCTCGGCAGTCTCGGTGCCCTTCGCTCAATATACGACCACCGCGTCGCACGCTGGGAGGACGAGATGGGGCGCATCAACGACGAGCGGGACCGTGTTGAAATGCTACTCCGCCAGACCCTGGGTGTCGGTTTGCAGAACGGTAATGGCCTTCCTGACGCGTAATTTATTCAATGTTGTGATCTACGCCGGCGATGTATGCACTCGTATGACCCTACTGTCCTATGCTGTACTGTACTTATGCACGCTGTCTATGTTGTCCCTACATAGTAACACCTCACCATGTCTAGATATGTTCATCTGGTGGATTACCCCGCTGATCCATGTACATAATGCATCATGCCTGCTATTATTATTGTACACCTGTCCTTGAGTGTCTACTCTACGTTTCTGGGTCCTTGAAGAATCGTGAATAAATTATAAGAAAAAGGTCGTGGATTACAATTCGTCCGAGAAGACTCGCTGGGCTGGCGTGAGAGAATGTTCCAAGGTCTCTAACCATGCTCTAAGAATGTTATTGAATACTTGTGGGTGCTCGAGGTGGGGCCAGTGGGCACCCTCCATTGTCTGCATTCGATTATCACGTAGTCCTTGGCAAAAGATCAAATTACACACCTTGGTCGTCAATTGTGGCAGGAAGGCCGCGGATTTCAAGTATTTGGCAGCGAATACCCAGTCTGCGACGGGATCCTGGGGTGATGCGCATGAGTAAGGTCCTGCAATTGGACAAATGACTCACGTTTAGAGGCAAAACAGACAAGACGGGCTGGGGAATGGTGTAATTTCCTTGCGCTTGAGTAGATTGCCATGTTCCATAGCGGTTCTAAGCACATCGTTCAGTTATGAGTTCATTGCAAGAAGATATCTACGCACTCCGCGAGTGTAGAATATGAGAGCTGCGGAGTATCGATTAGCTTAGTATGGTATCTGATGGATTCTGTTTCGTACTATGGTCAAATTTCTGTATGCTGAACCGTTCGACAAAATACTTTTCATCGGAAGAACTGAAAAACGGGATCGGGGGAATCTAGTCAAGGTTAGTAGGCTTTATACTGGAATGAGGGCTAATCATACCTCAGTCACGTTGTCATATGCACTGAGATAAGTGGTGGTGCTTGTGAGGAAGCTATCTGGAGGGGTGCTGTTTACTGTGCGCAACGTAGCACGTAGGCTTCTCCTGATATCCTTGTTCAGCTCAGCTATGGCTTCTGTTGTGTGGTTCTCGAAGAAAACTTGATAAGCTAGCTTGGGCATGACTGCTGCGAGCTGAGCGCTGTCTGCAAAAGGGCCAGCAGCGTGCAAATACTGGTTATGATTGTTGGGCAAGAAAATTTATAAAACAGTGATTTGTTTACCGGAACGGTCACGCCAACCAAGGCATAAAAGATATCAGGTCGTCTCCTCGCAGCCTCGTAGCAGACTTCAGCACCCCAGTCATGACTAGTATAAAGATATTAGGTAAGTCGGACCAGATCTTGTGCAAAACATACCCGAGACAAATAGCAGATTGAATCCCGACATGTTCGAGAACGCAAGTGAGATCACCAGTGATATCGGCCAACGTGCTGGATGACTGTACATCAGCGGGGTGTGTTGAACCCCCGAAACCACGAACGTCGATAGCAATCATACGATACTCGTCCTGAAACAAATCAACATGACGGTCGTCGGCTGATGGAAGAGATGTTTACGTTGAACTCTTCGATCTGGTACACCCAGGAGCTCCAAAGACTGGGCCAGCCGTGGACCATAATGATGCTCTTCTCCGCGGTCGGGTTGATGTCTACATAATCTATGACAACAATAAACACCTTCATAGGCAAGGAACGCGCATATATGGATACCAATGGTAATATTGACTTCTTCGTGCAGGATGCGATCCGCAGCTCTGCAAGTGGTAGACTGAATGGTATACGCCCATGGATTGAAGGTAACAGCTCCCGCCACGAAGGAGAGTGAAAGGGGAAGAGCCAAGCAGGTAGACCAGTGCATTGGGTGTAGTTCTTTCAGACGCTCAATCGACTTGCTAGTAGTTGTGTCCACTAACTGAACGAACTTCAACTTCAAGGATCAGCATGGAAGATGCCGCTCGGAATTCTACGTGCCTCCCATTGATATACTACTATTTATATTGTTGCTACCTGCAATAGCTGAGCGGATTCCGGCGTAATGATCAGCTCCATGCGTTGACTGTGTGTGAGCAAATAGAAGGAGGATTGTCCAGTCCTTTATCATTGTCGATGAGAACAGATGAAACAAAACAATGATCAACAAGGGAAAACCTGTTGAATAAGCTTCAATGTATGATGAGCTGAGAAAGAATGAGCAATCTGATTTCATCAGATTATCTCGTCCTCCGTGATCGATGTGAATGAGGCAACCAGAGCTCGAGTTGGCACAGGTGTGAGTTCTGAAGAGGCCTTTCACAGCAAAAGCCGCCGCCGTGTTGGGCGTTCCGGAAAGTGTTTTATGGGCGCTTGTAGTAGGCGTGCCGGACCTGATCGAAGCATACCTCATGGTAATCGTACGTTCAAGTCTTCTTCTTCTAAATCAAACTTTGACCATTATGCTAGTAGCACAAATGGACTCTAAAAATCCAAGTTTGACTAAATATCACCAAGGTGAGAGCCTAGTACTACTATAGTGCTTTCTGTCATGCCTCGGATGTCTTGACCTGAGCTCGCTGACAAGGACCCTTATAGACGGAAAAACACGCCTGTGATATGCTTTCGGATGTCATAGTTATATATGTAATTGAAGGTCAGTGAACTCATCATGTCACCCTCGTGTTTTTTTGCGTGAGATGATTTTGACCCGATGAGCAGTTGTAGTGCGGTTTCAGGCTGCAATACCCCAGCCTCATGTAATTCTCAAACAGAGCCTCAACCTCACCATGGCCTTCTAGCTGGCCGTTAAATTCATGGGATCGCTGAGCACTCACCATATCATTTCCCTCGCACTGGCAGGTTTTTCGTGTGCTACGGTACTGCAGTGTCAGCTGCCTAAGTGGGTTGATTCATTCTTATTTTACGCTATTGTGGACTCAATTGGAGACCTTTCACAGAGAGATGGGACAGTGGTCATCTTCCCTTGTTACCCTAGGGTCTCGAGCTGCGTTGCAGCTCGGTCCTCCAGGCCATTCGCTTCTGCCCTCGCTACTCAACAAACGCGCCCTCAACCTTCATGAGAGATTCTGGCAGCGGGGTATCGTGTCCGACCTTGATGAGGCCATCGAGCTTTATCGGGCTACATTACTCCTACTCCCCCTCGATCATCCAAATCGACCCTCATCTCTGTGCGATCTTGCTGCCAGCCTTGGAGACAGATTCCTGCAGCGGAGCATCATGTCCGACCTTGATGAGACCATCGAGCTCAATCGTGCTGCATTACTCCTGCTTCCCCCTGGTCATTCAGATAGATTCATGTCTCTGAACAATCTTGCACTCAGCTATCAACACAGATTCCGGCAGCGGGGCATCATGTCTGACCTTGATGAGGCCATCGAGCTCAATCGTGCTGCATTGCTCGTGCTTCCTCGCAGTCATTCAGATCGATCCACGTCTCTGAACCATCTTGCTACCAACCTTCAAAACAGATTCCGGGAGCAGGGCATAATGTCTGACCTTGATGAGGCCATCGAGCTCAATCGGGGTGCATTACTGCTCTGTCCCCCCGGTCATTCACATCGATCCTCGTCTCTGAACCATCTTGCTACCAGCCTTCAAAAGAGATTCGAGCAGCAGGGCATCATGTCCGACCTTGATGAGGCCAATGAGCTCCATCGTACTGCATTAGCCCTCCGTCTCCCTAGTCATTCAGATCGATCCATGTCTCTGAACAATCTTTCACTCATCCTTCAAGACAGAATTAAGCGGCGCAGCATCATGTTTAACCCTGATGGGGCCATCAAGATCCATCGTATTGCATTACTCCTCCATCCCCCTGGTCATTCGCATCGATCCTCGTCTCTGAACCATCTTGCTATCAGCCTTCAAAGCAGATTCGAGCAGCAGGGCATCATGTCTGACATTGATGAGGCCATCGAGCTCCATCGTGCTGCATTACTCCTCCGTCCCCCCGGTCATTCAGATCGATCCAATTCTCTGAACCATCTTGCTACCAGCCTTCAAAAGAGATTCGAGCAGCAGGGCATCATGTCTGACATTGATGAGGCCATCAAGCTCCATCGTGCTGCATTACTCCTCCGTCCCCCCGGTCATTCAGATCGATCTTCATCTCTGAACAATCTTGCTGCCAGCCTTCAAACCAGATTCGAGCAGTGGGGCATCATGTCCAACCTTGATGAGGCCATCGAGCTCAATCGTGCTGCATTACTCCTGGTTCCCCCTGGTCATTCAGTTAGATCCATGTTTCTGAACAATCTTGCACTCAGCTATCAACACAGATTCCAGCAGCGGGGCATCATGTCCGACCTTGATGAGGCCGTCGAGCTCAATCGTGAGGCATTACTACTCCATCCCCCTGGTCATACACATCGATATTTGTTTCTGAACAATCTTGCTACCAGCCTTCAAAACAGATTCGAGCAGCAGGGCATCATGTCTGACCTTTATGAGGCCATCGAGCTCAATCGGGGTGCATTACTCCTACTTCCTCCTGGCCATCCTGAACGATCCTCATCTATGAACAATCTTGCTGCCAGCCTTGGAACCAGATTCGAGCAGCAGGGCATCATGTCTGACATTGATGAGGCCATCGAGCTCAATCAGGGTGCATTACTCCTCCGTCCCCCCAGTCACCCAGATCGATCCTCGTCTCTGAACTATCTTGCACTCAGCCTTCAAGCAGAGATTCCAGCAACGGGGCATTCAGTCTGACTATGATGAAGCATTTAGCTTGTACTCTCAACTCTCCCACTTATCACATGCAGCATCTCGCACAGATCTTAGGGTTGCAAAGTCGTGGGCGGCCTCCGCCGACATCCTTGATCATGAATCTGCATTACTTGCTTATAAGGTTGCGCTAAAATTATTAGACCAGCAAGTTGCTCTCCTGTCGTCTTCTCCCCATCACTTTGACGTCATCAGGGAGGCTGTTTCTTCTCTCGCCACGGATGCTTTTTCGTGTAGTGTTCGTCGTGGTGCACTGATGACTGCAGTGGAGCTGCTGGAGCAAGGTCGTGCAGTATTCTGGACCCAGTTGGCACGCTTCAGCACACCACTCGATGAACTTTCTGGTTCAGGTGACATAGGCACGGCCTTGGCAGAAGAGTTCAAACGGTTGAGTTTTTGCCTTCGTAAAGCGTTCGATCAGTCTACTGAAGACCAGTCTCCGCAAATCTGACAACTGACCATGCAATGGGATGATGTCGTCACACGCATTCGCATGCTCCCCGACTTTTCACGCTTTCTTCTGCCTCCGCTGTTTTCTGACCTCCAAAAGGTGGCCGAACATGGTCCAGTTATCGTCGTTAATGCAAGTCAGTATGGCTGCGATGCCTTGATTGTCCGCAACGCCGAAGATCCTGTCCATATTCCGCTTGACATCACACAAGCTGAAGCGTGCGAATTATCCTCCGAGTTCCACACACTCGCAGAGCAGTTTGGTTCTTCTGATAATCAACTCAAGCTTGTCGGCATCCTTTGCAAGCTTTGGAATCATGTCGTTCACCCCGTTGTCCAAGCTCTCGGGGAGTCAAATGTTTGCCCTGGTTCGCGTATATGGTGGTGTCCCACTGCGGAGTTCACGCTGCTTCCCCTCCATGCAGCAGGACCATATGAGACGAAGAAAAAAAATTTGGCTGACATCTACATCTCATCTTATACCCCCACTTTGACGACTCTCATTCGTGCCAGACAGCGGCCTGAAGGTTCTCGAGATGCGTCCTCGCAACATTTTGTCGCCATCGGTCAAGGCAACCCAGTAAACGGCAGGGAGCTTAAGTGTGTCGCTCCCGAACTAGCCGTCGTTGCTCAGCATGTTACTCCCATAGTCTCCTTCACATCCCTCGAGGATGCTAACGCTACAGTCGAGAATGCACTCGATGCACTCGACCATAATCAGTGGCTCCATCTTGCCTGCCATGGAATGCCGAATCGGACACAACCGTTCAAGTCTTCCTTCGCCATGCGCGATGGGCCTTTAATGATCAAGGATATCATCCGATCCAACTGGCAGAACCCGCAGTTCGCATTCTTATCGGCCTGCCACACTACCGTTGGCGACGAGAAGAGTCCCGATGAGTCGATTCACCTTGCTGCCGCTATGCAATTCTGCGGATTTCGCAGTGTGATCGGTTCCATGTGGTCTGTTGATGACGAGGTTGCACGCCAGGTCGTGTCCGCATTTTACCGCAACTTTATTGATGATTCAAAAAGATTGGACTGCACATGCGCTGCGGTAGCGCTGCACAAGTCTGTGGAATCGTTGCGCAAGAAGATTCCATTAGAGCAGCAGATTGTATTTGTCCACATAGGTGTATAGTTAGACTCGATTCGCTATATCATTCCATTTGCTGTATCTCTAGTAGTTTTCGTTCCCTCACTCTGATGTTGCTTACTTATTTCTGCATGATGCTTTGTTGTTCTGTACTGTATTGGTGCCACGTACCACGTCCCGTGGGATAAATGTGATCCACTCCTACATCATCCCAGTTGTCGTTAAGCGCGGCTGTAGCATATGATTCGGCGAGTGGTGAACATCAGGTACCAAATGTGAACACATTGACGTGAATGCCTCCAGGAGTAGCAATGAATACGTCGTATTGCCAAAAGTTCTTTCTGCCAATCTGATACCGACTTCCATTTTGAAGAACGACAACTCCGTGAAATGAAGCGGACGTCGCCATAGTAGTAGATGAAAGAAGAGCAAAGAGGAAGACCAAACCATCAACGTGCAACAACACAGCACGACATGTTGGACACAATTGCACCCGATCCCAGCGCTATCTCGTGCTTAAATACTGTAGATATGGGAAGCAAGTATTTATCTAAGGAGTGTCTCTGAACCCCATCAGGTATTGCATAATCTGGAAGGAGGCCTGTAATGATCCATCTCTGCATTAGATGGTGTCTGCATGATAGCACTGTCAGACTTACTACTGGCGCAAACCCTGGAAGCCTAGTGCAGAAAACATGAGCAACGAGACCCTGCGAATTGTAGTGAACTTACATGTGTCCACTCAAGACTACTTCATAATAAGTGAGTCCCCGCTCTGAGTGCATCGACCCATAGGCACCCACACCATCGACAATGAAGCTGTCGTCGGCGATAGGCGTCTGGAATCCTTGCAAACCATTCCCTTGGAATATAATGAGTGAATCCTGGCGTACATGAAACATTACTAGTCACACACAGGTCATGCTACAGATGATCCCCATAGATTAAGGTGATACAGCTACGATCAAGAACGCACTTACTTTTGAATAGCAATTCTGTCTCTAAGTCATCAAACTATTGCGTCAGAATATACGAAGATTAGGGTCAAAATTGAAGTCATACCCATCGGCAATGTACATGAAGTCTGCGAGTCCGTGCACGATGACGGTCCGCTGGCTCTTCTCGATAACATTGGGTAATACAGTGGGTGCAGGGGGTAAGCTGCTGTCTTCGTGGAGGAAGACACGGGCCAAAGCGCATTCAACCCACTTGGTACCCACGGGCGCGTGGATAACTTCCTTTACGTCTGTTAGGTTGAAGTAGATCGTAGACTGCGTGTCTCTATATCTGCGTCAGCTGCGCTGCATTGAGTCAATTGTTGAATGACTTACAGAAAACCTAGGACATCCCATGGAGTCGGATACTTGGGAGGAAAAGAAGTTAGTATGGTATTCATCAATACCCTCTTCGACTCACAGTGTCCCAGATGCGATAGACATTAAAAGAGGGGTTGATCATCAGCGCATTAACGTAAATGTCGTCCCAGATACCGCAGCCTTGAGCAAAATTGGTAGAGTCTCCTGGCAGGGGAAGAAGACCTTTTGGAGGGTATGTGACGTACTTATCCATGTAGCCAGTGTAATTGCACGTCGCAGCCATCTCGTCGAGGTGGTCCATGTACGTTTGACTAGATATCAATTCGTGAGTGATCTGCGAACTAGGTCCAAATGAAATGGACAAACTTAAAAGAGAAGAGACTAGCGTGTTTTTTCACGAAGTCCAATGCAGGGATTTCCTGTTGCACTACATACCACGAGATCAAGGCTGAGCTTCACGTATGAGCCCTCGAGAAGAGACAGAGTAAGTCAAAATGTTAGTTACGATCATTGATCCATATCCCTTGCAACGAGAGGTCTAACAGAGTCGGGTTCTCGTAGATATAGTTTGCGATATCTTCATTTGTCTTAGAGTTACGTCCAAAGAAGATGACTGCTGACTCACAAGGAACGTATCTTCCAGCATACTGAATACGGTCAATACGATGTTTTACCACGCTCTCTGAGAACTTACACTTTCACCCGACAAATACAGCTTTTTACCTTTGAGTTCCGAAAAGACTTCAAGGAACTGCTGCATGAAGCCGACGACTTGAGCAGCAACGTCATCCTCATTCTGTGCGTCCGGGATGCCTTGAGAAAATCCTGTACCGACAGGTTGCTCCACCCAAAGGACGGAGGACAGGTTGGTCCAGCTGTGTTGGTTCACCGTCGGTTTTGCCTGACCCCAGGACCAACTGAAAGGCTTCAAACATCTCAGTTTTAGATCGGTTTTGTTGTCAACAAAAAGGTTTACCCCATTCTCTTGCAGCAAACCTGCGAGGGAGGAGCATCCAGGTCCACCATTCGTCCTTGAAGTGGAACATGTCAGGTCAGCAGCGAAGAGCTTAGAGCACACCGCTTCTGATGACGCACCAAAAGATCAAATCATCAAGACTCCCTTGGGGGCCGGGAGGGAAAAACCAAAAAAAGAGCTGATACCCTTGATGTCAACGCTTGAAGAACGTGCATAGACTACTCAGGTACACACCTGACGCGTCTCATTAGGACTATTGCTGATGGGCAGAAGACCTGCCCAGCTAGGACCAACGTCGAAGTCAACAAGAGGAAGAGATTTGCCATCGACGTAAAATTCTGGACGAATTAGACATGAGATATTTACTTGTAGCATTTCAGTCACCTGAGGCCTTTGGGTTGTTGAATGTGATATTCTGAACACCATCGCTCTTTACGTTCTGAGGGCCACTAGTCTGCCAACGTTTTACTGCCTCGAGTCGGTGTTCGTTCACCTCCTGCATAGTCATCAAACGACCGCTGGTGGTGGCCACTGCGAGCAGAGTCGCAAACACGGCACTGAGAAGACGCATCACGGTCCAATAAGCTAAGAGTTCGTGAGGGGGAAATGGCGAGTCGTATCTAAAATACGTGTTTCTGGAATGAACATTCAGATAAATCAAGTGTATACGAGGCTGATCGCCATAGGAGGGAATGGGTGAGCTCAAGTGGCGGAATTGCTGAGCCGAGTTCTACCAACCGGTTTGGCTGAATTAGTAGTGCTGGCAGTCGGCATTCAAAACTTCTGTTCGAGAGCAGAACCTCGCAGAACCCCAGGCTCAGCAGAGCAACAAGACATTACTGTTGCTATAGCTGGACAAATTCCGGCGTAATAATTAGGCCTATGCGTTGACTGTGTGCCTCCGTACTATGCAGAGCAAATGGAAGAAGGATTGTCGTTAAATTATTCCGGATTTAGTGAAAACAGGTGAAAACAACGATCAACAAGCGACAATTGTACACTAGTACCCTGCCGAAAACAAACAACTTGAATCTGCTATTCCAGTACTGGTCCATCTGTGGAAACAATCGTCCGCGTCATGTGTCGGATCAATCCATCGAGATTCCATGTGGTGATAGCGTACACCAAAAGCTCATGAATGACGCCCCATTGCGTCTCGAGTTTGATACCACTGCAGTCTCGAGATGAGTGTCAGTAAATGAAAGTTCTCACCTTTCTCCGTGGCTAGGTCCCAACAATGGATCCTTATCTCCTCTTATCCAGCATGCGTCATCTCTCGGGAGTTAGATCGGTGTAGGCTTGCTCGTACACACGACTTCGGTCATAGCCCCGAGGAAGCTGACTGATTCTTGACGAGGCCACGCCTGGATGCGGTGACACTGAGGGGTGAACGATACGGGACGTTAGCGACACCTAGTCCTGACCCTGAAGATGACGCGGTGTCAGTGGCAGTCCAGAGGATAAAAATGGACCGTACCCTCCAAGGAGGACCTTTCTAGGCCTTGGCAGGCCACAACATATCCAGTTGGAGTGAGATCGTCTTCTGGTGAAGTAAATTTCTAGGTATGTGATACGATCGTCTGCCACCGCACCACCACCCTTTCTGCGAGTGTAGTTATTTGCAATGTTTGGCTGACATCATTGGCAGTGATAGATCTCCTCCGGTATCATTGTCACTTTTTTAGAGCGCAGCCCGATAACGGGGGGCTGAGCCAGGCCGATGAAAAACGGTCACAAAAATATATGGTATTACAACTCAGCCCAACGGCGAACTGGTGTTATTGGACAAATCCTGCTACAGTGCCGTAGCTAATGCAACGTAAGTAATACACACGTTGGGACATGGTTACTTGTAAGGCAACTTATTGATCGATGGGTTTAAGGTTGTCCGTATCAAGGAGACAATGCACGGTCAATTCCGTTATCTTGCAGGGAGCCTTTACTTCGCATTTCAATTGCATTATCGTTGTCGTGTCTTCCACTATTATTTGGATCGACGCCTGTTATGTAAGTACCAGTCGATGGAATGTAACAAGAGCCCATTTTCGTTTTCCCCTTGTTTCCGGGCACATCCTACTAGAAGTGCCGCACTTGACTTGACACAATTTCATTTCATAGGAACAGACTGGTTGTCCCTGTGACAAATATGTCGAGGCTTTATATATGTGAGTTGTGCTTCGTGCTGTTTGAGGGCTCTGATGTGCATCCTGCACCAAATGAAAGTCAAAAAGGTACAAGATATTATTGGTACAAGCGTGTGATTACGCATTCATGACATTCAGTAAGTTCAGTCTAGTCTAAAATTCAGGGTGACGGATGCCCTCTAACTGCCAAGGTAACGTGCTTGACGAACCCAGCAACCCCCCTCAACCTGACTGACACTGCTCGCAGTAGTAATAGTACTGTCGCCAACCAACTCAGATCGACTGCGCTGTTGAATTGAATCGCGGCACTTACCAAGTCGGGAACGGTGTAGCAGCAAGCTGCTAGGTAGCCACTTGCACAAGTTTCTGCGTAGCTTTGACACTCCTCATCGTTTACATTGCCCGGTTGAGATGGATCCTTTACAATGCAGGTAAGCACAAATGTATTCCGCCATTTATTAATTTCTCTCACCTCCTGGCAGCAGCGAATTGTACCTGAACCACAGTCAGTCGAATGACTCGACGCGTTAACACTGGCTTGCAAACAGAGGAGCAAGATGGCAGAAAACAAAAAGACACGGACGAACATATTGATTAGCCCCTTGTTCGAACGAGTGCCATTTGAATAAAACGGCCAGCGTCTTATCGCGTGAACGCGTTCATTTCAATTCGGATGAACTTTTGACGTAGCCAGCCTCGGTGAAGTGTGATTTTGAAATAAAAGCCCATGCTTCATCTCACGCTACGTTTTCCCATAGACTTCCATGAGGGGAAATGACCACTACAGCCCAGTGGCCAGGCTGTCCGATTGGTGCTCAAAGAGGGGACGCTCCAGAAGAACCACCGTCCCAACTTCTGCAACGAAGCCTAGTCGAGGACTTTCATATCTATATGATCCTATCTATACATTGTCCGCGGCAGAGCTTCGTTGTCTACCCTCTAGGATCGTGTAAAGACTAGGCCACCACTTCAAAGGCGGGACGTGACTCTACATTCAGGAATCTTCTCCTATTTCTATTTGTAGTAAGATGCGATAACACCATCACTTTCTGTTACGCCCGACGAGAACCATAAACTCGAGGTAATATTCTGGCTCCACGATGATGTAATTCGTACTTCGAACGCCTGGTTACCAGAACATTAATGCCCCCACTGCTCAATACGTCGAATGAGGCCCTAAGCCTTTTTGTATAAAAAAAGAAAGGCTGTATCATGAAGTACAGCAAAGTACTTGCGTCTGACTCTTAGTGACCTGCAGGAGTGACTTTCGACAGTGTTATCCCCTAAGCATGTAGACTCTTGCTAGAGTTTTATCTTCTCATACCGGAGATGCCACCACAAGGTGTTCGGCGAGTGTCAATTTACTTTGACAACTTCCCGGGCAACGTTGCTAATATGAATACGCGCCCGTAGCAGTAAAGTTACATTGATCCTTCAAAGTCAGCCACTCCATGGCGGTAGAATCATCGCCCTCGGCGATTGTATATTTCCGGATCTCAGGGTATCATGGAGACGCGAGTTTTATACAAAGTCATTCGAGCTATTTCTGCGAGATGTGATGGACGTAGTCACCGCACAAGGTGCCATACCTTGGCCGATGCCGAACCAAGCTCATCTTGACCAGTACCAAAGTTTGATGAAAAATCGCATATTTTACGGCTGAAATGTTCAACACGTATGTCCGTGCAGCGGATATTGCTGGAAGAGACATCGAAGTAATAGGAAAACTACTCATAAGTCGATATCTCTCTGTGCCACCACGTATTGTCCGGGAGCGGACTTAAGGGAAGCCACACTACGAGTAATGTTACCACATAAAGCCATTGTCAATTTGTGACAGTCTGACTAATGGGCATGGGGTGGCTTCAAGTTGGCAAGAAACGTGCATATATGCGGACCGATGATGACATCGACCTCCTCATTCAAGATACGATCCACAGCCTCTGCAACTGGTAGACTGGATGGTATACGCCCTCAGATTGAAGGCGGCAACTCCCACCACAGACGGAAGGGAGATAGGAAGATTGTGGGATGAGTTGAACGATCCAGGATTTCTGGCCAGAATTCAACTGGCTCGTAGTCACATCCACTGGGCAAACTTCAAATTCAAATGAAAGATACTCCATCGATATACTGCTGCCGCTACGACTACGTACCTGCAACAACGAACTCGAGTTCTAGGTTCCGGCGATGATCACGGATCTAGGTCGTTCGATGTGAAGTGTGCACATGTGAAATGTGATCAAACAGGACCTCGTGTCCGGTTTCAATATCAATAGTGAAAACAAGCAAAAACGACGATCAACAAATGACAATTGTACCTCACTGATTTGGTGAACACGTATCTATTGAATGCTTCAGTCCTGCTGTGAAAACCAGAGGAATACGCTGTCACGCGTCAGATCGAGACTCCATACAATGTCATTGAATGACGAGCTAATTCAACAACAACGTATGGCGTCGCAGCTGATGCTACACTCTCGAGGACAACCATGATTGTGAGGAAATGGAATTACTCATCTTTCCCCATAACCTGGGTCGCGATAGTCCTTTCTCTTGTCCAGAATGTGTTTTGTCGATGTATCAAGTTTGTTTTATCAAACCGGGGTGGACTTACTCGCGCTGACGACCTCGGCTTTTTGAGCCTCTTGGCGCCGAGGAGGCAGACTAAATGCGACGATACCACCTCGGACCCAACGGGCACTGAGGAGCGAACGGGATGGAAGCTAGCGACACCTGCAAGACAGGACCAACGTTCCACGCCCGAGCCACCACTAGGTCCCGACCTGGATGACAGCGACCACTGATGCCCTGAAAGAGGACACGATGTTAGCGGCGGGTCAGAAGATGAAAGTGGAACATACCCTCTCATCTCGCTCTCGAACCTAGGAGCCGCGAGAGTTGATGTGGACCGGGGTGCCTAGACCATGGGGCGGGCCAGTACAACCGAGCGGGGAGATGCTGAGGAGGCACAGGGCGGAGAGAAGTCAGACACTTGAGAGCCCCGGCGAATGTGGACAGCAGACGCGCTTGAAGAGGGTCAAGAGGACCCAGGTCCTATGCCTGCACCGTCCACGTCGCGAGCGACGTCCGTGAAGGGCAGCAGCTGTAGTATATTCTCTCTTCATGTCCTTGAATTGTAAATCTTGATGCACGGTTGGGGCTTGCCTCCAACTCCTAAACGGTAGCAGTCGCTTAGTACGCGGGTAAGAATGTGGCAAGAAACAGACATACATTTGGGTTGTAGTCGAAGCTTGCGGTTGGACCTGAGGGCGATTAGGTGAATGTTAGTGACCTGGCACATATGCATACACTATAAGGAAGAAACGTACCATACATCGTCCGGCGAATAAATTTTTAGGCGTGCTAGTGGTGGAAGGGATGGTGGGGGCATGCCAACTTTCCCAAGTGGGAGTCGCACGCCACATACCTTGCTTGAAAGCTTGAACGTCCAAGACTACAATATGACGAATTAGCACAGAGGAAGAAGTTTTGAAGATGAAAGAGTGTTTGAAAGAGCGGATGAAGGAGTGAAGCGGGAATGAGTGAGTATATATATACCCAGCATGGCGGCTGACACAGGGATGAATTTTCCAAATATGGAAATGGGTAGGGTAGGAGGTGTAAGGTGTCATCGAAGTTATGCTGGACAGTCGAGCTCATGAGGGATCTATATGACACAACTCAGGATCGCACGAAGTTGGGAAGCACATACAGCCGGAGCTGATTAAAATTTCTATCGATTTCTTCTCTGAGAGTTATATGGCATAGCAGTCAGTGCCTTATCAAAGTTCAGAATAACATGTCGATCGACGCGGAGTAATTTGGATATATGTACTCAGCGGATAAACTTAAAATTGCTCGACGCGTCCAAGACGCGCTTCAAGTTGGACGCGTCGGTCACATGATGCAAACCTTCTGATCCTAACAGCGCCAAACATACAGGCACATGGGACAATGAAATCGTTTAACCGTGCTCGTTTTACATATCTGACACTTGCATATAGATCTTCGTGTTTTCGCGCGGCCTCAAGATTATTCTCTTTGCATCGTTCCCTCAGCCACGATTTTAGTCACCCACCCACCTCTCTAATGCTCTCTTGATCTTACCAGCGTGCTTTTGGTTTAGTCTTGTTTCTTCGTGGTCCGATCCCGCGCTCAGAGGGTCTGTCCCCTGCATCCCACCTTTTCGCTTTTTCAACTCCAAACCCCGGACTCAGAACGCTTTGCAGACATGGTCCGGTAAAGTACGACCTTCCCTACCACACCAGTGACACCACGAAAGCGAAGCTTTCGTGGTGAAATACCTCACTTAGGCTTTGGCCTTCTCACCCGAATTTGTATCTCCAAGTCTATCTTTTCCACTCAGTGACGTCCCTCTCGCCGTCTTGCAAGTGTACTAATACAGTATTACACATCATCCTCTCCCACTAATTTTATCTGTCCACCAAACATCCACATGGCTATCGTATACAAAGCTGTAATAGAGAGGTTGCGTCCGGCACCGGTGATCGATGCGCCTGATTTGTGTTCACCATAAGTCAGGCTCAGATGAGTGCCTCTCGGAGACGCCTGGTCTTTGAATACAGCTATAGTATCTCTATGGAACTGACGTCCATGCTATCAACAGAAGCCATGTTTTTGACTTGTGCAATGATATTATAGTCCGACGCGATTCTCTTGTACTCTCCCACGCGCTGCTGCGCTAGCAAAAATGCGCCAAAAGGCTGGCCGAGGTGAACCATCATTCGCAACGCTCGTAAGTGACGCTCCTCTTCTACAGGCGGACCATCAGGGAACTCCTCAGAGCCGTCTGACTGAGATCCGTGCTCGGACAAATCCCCGGCACTGCCCACATCGTCTGCAAAGTCAAGCCGCTCGAGGAGACAGCGATCCCATGGACGGACAAGGAAGAATGTTTGTCGAGTGGGCCTTGCCCGCGAGAACTGAATGAGCGTCTCGCCTGTAGTGATCAGCAAGTCTTGAAGCCCATCTGCTTTAACTCCGTATATGAAATGAGTCGCCTGGGCTGGACCACGCTTCTGTCTGATCTCCGTGACACGAAATGAAATGCAGGGCAGGTGCAGTCTGCGGTTTGCGAAGCGAGGAGCACTCATGCTCTGCAGCAGGGCATAGAGTTTCGATGCCAAATTCACAGCCACAGTATTTCTTTGCAGCGAAGAGACCTCTGTCTGGATGTCATCTTCAGATAAAGATGGCAGGGAGCGTGGCGGGGCGGCATATGAGGTAATGTCTGCAGGAAGACAACTATTGAACTCGGATGATTGTCCCACCCAATAGAGGGCAGTGATGTCGCCCGATCGAGCAACAATCTCCTGCAGGAGACGCCCGAGCGCGTTTGCCTTCTTCTCGCCATAATCCACAGGCAAACGGACGTCGAAGACGCCAAACAACGAGTATGCGATGTCTTCCTGAACCGTTGTAACACGGTTTGAAGCCCATTGAAGTCTCTCTCGTGCACCGCTCATCCCTGGGGAGAAGTCGATGAGGGCCTGTCGATCAATGCCAGTCGCGACCTCCAACTCCTTCATTATCGCAGTCGACTTTTTATGGTTTGGAGAGCGATCATTGAGATATGGGGTCCAATCCTTCTGATAGAAGATAACGACTTTGGAAGCAAGGAATTCTTGAAAGGTCCATCCTCGTCTGTTCCACTCGCTCATACCTAGAGCGCCAGGCTTGGATGAAGGCAGAACATCCGAAAGATAGACAATCGTAAGCGCTGAGTGTTGATACCAGACGAACATAGAGTTGAGCGATTGTTGCAGCTCGACGTTACTGCCCTTATCGATGCAGCATGTATCGCTCCATGCCCAGCGGTAACCTGCATTACGAACGATTTCGCAGAACCTTCGCGACTTTATGATGCCACCAGGCAAATTCAGCTTGTACGCGTGCCATCGGGCGTCCACGTGAGTAAGTAGTTCCATCTCCTGTGAGCCTTGAAGGATGTGACATTCCCTCGTGCTTAAATTATAAATTGTGATCTTGTCCGATGTTGCGATGGCAAGAAGTTCGCCAGACGGTGAATAGCGAATGCAGTGGATATAACTACCATCGACCTCGATTGCACTTCCTTGCTGCTCCCAGGTTTTTGTGCTCCAGAACTTCGTCGTAAAGTCCCATGAACCACTTGCCAGTATTGATCCATCGGGAGAAAAGTCCAAAGAGCTGAGTGGACGGAAGTGGGCTTTCATGGGTTGGGTAAGGGATTCACCAGTTTCTCCGTTCCAAGCGATGAGCACTCCTTCGTCATCACTGCTTGCGATGAATTGTCCATCTCGTGATAACGCTGTTGTCAACACCGCCTTGCGATGCCCCTCCATCTTCTTCAACATAACACCTGTGTTCAAGTCCCACAACCGAAGGGTCTTGTCGTACGAGCCCGTAACCATTCGTCGACCATCGGGGAAAACTGCGACTGCTGGTACTTTTGTTTCATGACCTTTAAATTCTAGCAAGCGTGTGGTACTTGAAATGAGCTCCGACATTTGACTGGAGGTGGACTGGAAGGGCCGTGGGTGCCTTTCTCTGCGGTGCGTGTTTTTGTGCTGTGCCACCGCATTTGAATACCGAACAACAGACTGAACAGGATGTACAGGAAAGGATAAATCGATAACCATCTTCCGAATAGTCTCCTTGTAGCAATTTACATATATATAAAGCAGTAGCATTAACATTACCCCCTCCGCAGTTCTTAGTACCACTCAGTGATCTTTTTTTCCTTACCATGTCAGGGCAAGAGCTAGAAGGACGAATCCTCAAGAGGTAGGCTCAACCTTACTACTCCCGCCGATTGACTCGAACAATAGCGATGTTACTTATTACCCTCACCACAGAGCAAATCCAAAGACAATACAAGATAAATTTCTAGTCGGATATCAAGGATGGTGCGTTCAACAGTCAATCATGACCGAGATGCAAGTACAAGGGCCAATAAGTGCCTCTGTAGCTAAACTTGCGGATGGATGATAGAGTGTCGCGTTGAACACTACTTTTGCAGGTTCACATGCAACGGAGACGGCGAACCCATGGATCCTAACCACCATGGATGGATGCACTGGTTCGATAAACCGATCTCAGATGGTGGACGCCCCAATACAGATCTATGGCCAGATGTATCCGAATACTCCCCATCCGAGCTGTTTCCCGCTCCGGATCTCCAAAATGCAGATGGAGACCCCGTATTTCTCTTCTCTTCGCGAAACTCAAAGACGGTGAGGCGCCACTTTCACTGGATGGCGTTACATGGCGTCGATGGCGCGTTTTTGCAACGGTTCGCAGGTCAATGTGACCTGGAGGCAGGCTCCGCAGCAATCAGGAAGATCAGAGATGAGGTGGGCGATCGTGTCAGAGAGGCTGCTGAAGCAGAGGGAAGGGTCTTTGCCATAATGTGCGCATACTCATCAACTCAGTCTGGTCGGTATTGACTGCGCATTTTTAGGTATGATGTCTCGGGTGTTCATCCAGACAAGATCCAACGGGTTCTCGAGCAAGATTGGACGCATCTGATACGTGACAAGTATGTCCTTGACAGCCCGAATTACCTTCGGGAGAAAGGCAAGCCGGTCATCGCTCTGTGGGGTATGCTCGCATAAAGTATGATTATGGTCGTTTGGCTCATCCGCAACCCAGGTTTTGGATTCAATCACAGAAATCACTCTCCACAGGTTGTCAGATCTATTGTCAATTTCTTTCGTTCATCCACACCAGGTGGTGTTTATCTTATGGCCGGCGTACCTGGACATTGGCGCACATCAACATCTGATAGTGATCCAGACCCCGAATTCTTGCGGGTTTGGACAGAAGAATTTGACGCGCTAAGTCCCTGGACTGTAGGGCGTTACGGGAACGAAGAGGAAGCGGAACGCTGGGGGAATGAGAAAGTCAAGCAGGACTTTGATTTCCTAAAGCGAAGAGGAGACGAAGGGGGCAAAAGAGTAGATTATATACCCGTAGTACTCCCTGGAGGCAGCGTAGGTCCAGTGACACGTTCTATTATCGTTATATTTATTATTTCTGTTTGACAGGGCTACAATCTCTCTCGCGGGCAATGGGGGCTCAATGGAATAAAGCGCAACGGGGGCCACTTTCTTTGGAAACAAATCTACGCCGCCCGACACGCAGGGGTGCGCATAATCTACGGTGCCATGTGGGACGAATATGATGAAGGCACGGCATTCATGCCCGTAGTCTCTTCTTCAAAGCAACTCCCGGTTCATTCACAATTCAATTTTTTAGCGCTCGACGCCGATGGCCACTCGCTTCCGTCAGACTGGTATATGCGCATAGCTGGTTTCGCTGCTGAATCCCTACGCGGTGACCATATGTTACATGAGTCATTTCCCGTCAAGGAGTTACAGGATTATTGGGCCACTCGTCCCAGATATGAGGAAACGACACCTGCAAAGGAAGAAACGGAGCAATTGAACGAGGCTCAAAGAGCATACCATGATTGGGCTGCACAAGAGGACGGTGCGGTGGTAGACGAGGCACCTCCGCCGTATATGCTGGAAGATGAGATGCAGAGTCCTCAAACAAGCAGTGTACAGAATACCGGACTAGTCCCTCCTGAGGCTACCAATCCTGTCCTCGGTCGTTCATCACACTCATCTGTGCCACCGCCATCTCCTCCGATGTCAACCAGGCCTGAATGTCCGCCCGGTTTGGATAAGCGTACCCCACAGTCCTATCAGCAACCAAGCTCTTCGTATACCATTGCCAGGCCATCGTCTCAGGGTTCTTCCCCTGTTCCAACATCTGCTGCTGTGGCCTATCTGGCTGGCGATCTCACTCGACAGACATTGTCACACCTTCCGCAGCATGCGTCAGGGTTTTCCTCTCTAAGTCGTTCAGTCATCCAAATGCCTTCCGTGGAGGTGACCCCAAGCGCCGCACCTATCTCTCCGCTCCCGGCTTCAGCGACACCCGTCTCATCATGGCCGCAACACCCTGTTCAACAACACAATATTCCGAGTTATCCCCGTGTTTCACCCCTCGATTCCCTCTCCTCACTCACACCTCAGAGGGAGCCTTTCGGTATAGGTGGACCTGGATACCATGGGCCTGATTCCAACGTGCACCCGCACGATCCCGCCCCTCTTCCCCGTGTCGAACATTCGCGCACAACTTCAAATTCTGGTGCATCTTCCATAGCAACGAACAGGCCAGCACATCCCCACCCCGCACCAAATTCACTCGTGCAAGATTATTGCCAACGCCAAATTCCGCCAACACAACTTCATCCTGGTGGTTCCTACTCTTCACGGCCTTATTCCCCGCCTGAATGGGGAACCCAACGCTCGCCTCCGCCTGTACCGCCCCGTGCGTATTTTGTTTGTTTATAGCTGCTTTTTCGTTGCTAATCGTTGCGTATTGACAAGGTCCTTCCATGCAGACACAGTCTTTGAACCATTGCTCCTCGAACCAGTCGACATCGATGTTGACAGGCAATGGTCGAGGGCGCGGGCTCAATGGTCGAGGGCGAGGACGAGGGCGTGGAAACAGTATCGCGGGGCATGCACAGGGAAGTACGCAAGGAAACAGCGGGAGACCCTCACGCGGAGTGAGTTTTCTCTTGAACATCATTCTGTCATGCACTGCTCATCTGGTTGCTCTCCAGGCTGGCCGAGGCTACTAAATAATGTTTAGCCTCATGAACTCATAAGCAACGTAACGGCTCGCCTTCAGCATTGTATAATTGCGGACATCCTAAGTTGAACTTTGATATGAATACTTGTTGTGTTATTGAGCATATATTCAGTTGAGGTACTGCGAAATGATGAGTTGAGTCTTTCGTCCTAGATTGCATCCAACACGCAGACCAGAAAGATGATACAAGTAATACATATCAGAAACACAGGCTCGTCGAACCTCTACAGCCAATTATTCATTTATATTGTTTTGGCGGACATCGATGGTGAACCGGCGATACCCAACAGTAGCTTACTCCGGTGGCATCATAGTACACAACTGCCAAGGCCATTTCAACCTCTCCCAATCCAAAGCTGAGAATCATCTGTAAGATACCCTTCCACGGAAAACGTAACCCCCTCTTTTGCAAGCATCTCCATCTTTCTATTGCACTGTAACCCAGTGTTCTTCTGTCCACCCCTTGCGTTTGCGCCAGTACCCCACTCGCCGAAGAATCCACCAATGTACATATTTGACGCGATGATGCGGTGGCAAGGCACAAATGGTGCAAATGGATTGTTTCGAAGCGCAGAGCCAACTAGGAAACGAGATTGTGAGAGGAGAGAAAGGGTTTGCGTTTTGGATGCGCACCTGATCGCGGCGAACCTTGCCCAAGAGCGACGCAGATGTCCTTGTACGTCGTAACACGACCGCAAGGAATCGTTCTGGTAAAATCGTATACTGCCCATTGATGTGGAGTGACGCGCTGGGAGAACCATCATGACTAAGGAATAGTCTTGGGCAGTCTCAATGCATGCTGCTTGCCTTGCCGTCGCGCGTCTTGTAAGTTTTGCGTTCATTTTCGCTTGACGGATAATGAATGTTGCCTATGAAGACAGTTCCATGAGAGTCATTTGACATGGGCTGTGGAGTCGGATGTCATCTGCGCTTACAGTCTGCCAGGTCCTGCATTTCCTCTGCGACTATGGTAGCACTTGAGGTTATTGTCTTGTGTTTATCCGAGTCGGTGCCAGCGCGCTTCGTTGAGCGTGATGTTGTCCTTGTGGCAGGCATTATCCAGACAAAAACGATAATAAAACTGTGCTATTGGGATGTGTCAGACACTAAGGTGGTACAAGAACGAAGTGCGTGAGCTTTGGTGACCGTCAGGGGCAAACATGACTCGGACACTTAATCCCACGGGTTGACTGTGATTCAGGGCTGGCAAGACGGTGGCACTCGTCCAACTCAACTTTGTCTGCGATACTATGTAATATGGGAGGTAAGTATCTATCTAAGGAGTGTCTCTAAACCCCATCAAGTACTGCATAATCTGGAAGGAGGCCTGAAATTATCCGTTTTTGCATCAGACGGCGTCTGCATGACAGCGCTGTCGACTTACCACTGGCGCAAACTCTGGAAGCCTAGCACAGAAAACATCAGCAACGAAACCCTGCGGATTGCAGTGCACTGACATGTGTCCACCCAAGGATACTTCATAATAAGTGAGTCCCCGCTCTGAGTGCATCGACCCGTAGGCACCCACACCATCGACAATGAAGCTGTCGTCAGCGATAGGCATCTGGAATCCTTGCAAACCATTCCCTTGAAATATAATAAATGGATCATAGCGTACATCAAACATCACTAGTCACGCACAGGTCATGCTACAAATGATTCCGATCGATTAAAGTGATACAGTCACGATCAAGAACGCACTTACTTTTGAATGGCAATTCTGGTTCTAAGTCATCAAACCATTGCGTCAGAATATGCGAAGATTAGGGTCGAAACCGAAGTCATACCCATCAGCCATCATGATGAAGTCCGCGAGTCCGTGTACGATGACGGTCCGTTGGCTCTTCTGAATAACACTCGATAATACAGTGAGTGCAGGGGGTAAGCTGCTATCATCGTTGGGGAAGACATTGGTCGAGGTGCATTCAATCCACTCGGTATCCACGGGCGCGTGAATAGCTTCTTTTACGTCTGTCAAGTTAAAGTAGATCGGAGACTGCGTGTCTCTGGATCTGCGTCAGCTGGGCTTCATTGAATCGATCATTGAATGGCTTACATAAAACCTAGGACATCCCATGGAAGCGGATACTTGAAAGAAAAAGAAGTTAATATGGTATTCAGTGATGTCTTCTTGGACTCACAGTGTCCCAGATGCGATAGATATTGAAAGAGGGGTTGATCATCAGCGCATTATCGTAAACGTCGGTCCAGATATCGCAGCCTTGAGCAAAATCGATAGAGTCTCCTGGCAGGGGAAGAAGTCCTTTCGGAGGGTATGTGACGTACTTATCCATGTAGCCAGTGTAATTGCACGTCGCAGCCATCTTGTCGAGGTGGTGCATGTACGTTTGACTAGATATCAATCAGTGAGTGACCTGTGAACTAGGTCCGAGTGAAATGGACAAACTTGAAAGAGAAGAGACTAGCGTGTTTTTTCACGAAGTCCATTGCAGGGATTTGTTGTTGCACCACAAACCATGAGAATAAGGCTGAGTTTCACGTATGAGCCCTTGAGAAGAGACAGAGCAAGCCAAAGTGTTATTTACGATCATTGATCCATATCCCTTGCAACGAGAGGTCTAACAGAGTCGGGTTCTCGTAGATATAGTTTGCGATATCTTCATTTGTCTTGGAGTTACGTTCAAAGAAGATGACTGCTGACTCACAAGGAACGTATCTTCCAGCATACTGAATACAGTCAGTACGATGTTTTACTGGAGTCTCTGAGAACTTACACTTTCACCCGACAAATACAGCTTTTTACCTTTGAGTTCCGAAAAGACTTCAAGGAACTGCTGCATGAACCCGACGACTTGAGCAGCAACATCGTCCTCATTCTGTGCGTCTGGGATGCCTTGAGAAAATCCTGTACCGACAGGTTGCTCCACCCAAAGGACGGAGGACAGGTTGGTCCAGCTGTGTTGGTTCACCGTCGGTTTTGCCTGACCCCAGGACCAACTGAAAGGCTTCAAATATCTCAGTTTTAGATCGGTCTTGTCGTCAACAAAAAGGTTTACCCCATTCTCTTGCAGCAAACCTGCGAGGGAGGAGCATCCAGGTCCACCATTCGTCCTTGAAGTGGAATATATCAGGTCAGCAGCGAAGAGCTTAGAAAACACCGCTCCTGATGACGCACCAAAAGATCAAATCATCAAGACTCCCTTGGGGGCCGGGAGGGAAAAACCAAAAAAAGAGCTGATACCCTTGATGTCAACGCTTGAAGAACGTGTATGGACTACTCAGGTACACACCTGACGCGTCTCATTAGGACTATTGCTGATGGGCAGAAGACCCGCCCAGCTAGGACCAACGTCGAAGTCAACAAGAGGAAGGGATTTGCCATCGACGTAAAATTCTGGACGAAGATGGATCATACGTATGAGATATTTACTTGTAGCATTACAATCACCTGAGGCCTTGGGGTTGGTGAATGTGAAATTCTGAACACCACCGCTCTTTCCGTTCTGAGAGCCACCAGTCTGCCAACGTTTTGCTGCCTCGAGTCGGCCTTCGTTCATCTCTTGCATGGTCATCAAACGACCGCTGACGGCGGCCACGGCGAGCAGAGTCGCAAACACGGCAAGAAGACGCATCACGGTCGAATAAGCCAAAATCTTGTGAGGGGGGAACAGCGAGTCGTATTTAAAATGAGTATTCCTGCAACGAGCATTCAGATAAACCACAGCGGGTTGCCATAGCAGGGAATGGGTGCGTTCAAGCGGCAGAATTTCCGAGCCGAGTTCTACCAACCGGTTTGGCTGAATTAGTGAGGGCATGTAGGAAATGGCCGGTCTATGTTAAGTCTGCGCAGACTCCGCGACATAGTCTGGGGGACATGTCTGGGTAGCGTTTCTGGTGAAATGAACACAGTTCAGACTGACTTCGCTTCGCTTCGAAAAAGAGGCAGTGTGCTTACCTCCCAATAACGCACAAGATCAGTGACACGCTCGCCGCCATTGAGTGTCAGCGGCTCACGTTCATAACGCTCTAACTCCCTTCTAGCATCCTTGCAATCTTCCTCGATTGCTTTTGTCTCTTGTCGATCAAGCTCTGCGGCAGTTGGTTGATGTCCTTCGTTCGTATTTGATGAAAGTTGGCAAAGGTGATGGTGAACTTGAAGAAAATATGATTGAGGAAAAGGATGTCGAACGCTGGATATCAACATTGATGCACGACAGTCGAAGCTGTAGTTGTGTGAGGCAAACAAAGAGCTTGCTGACCGGATTTGCGCTGGAATGTTCGATATGTCATGTTGTCATCTTAGTAAAATGACAGGTCAACTGATGCAATGATGGCCAGGCAATTAGTCTTAGGCTTGCAGGCGGGAATCCTCCGAAACTCAGATGTCGTGCACAGGTGTGCGATAGGTTCGAACTTACAGGTAATAGTCAGTAGATGAGAAATGACTATTGACACCAGAGGCTGGCGCCTCATGCAAGTATAGCGCTGAAAATAAGAAACTATCTACTTCATCTTGGCGCGCAATTAGACAAATTGGGTTGCTGCATCGCCTCATTACGAAAATGTTTGTTACGAACTGCCTCAGCCTCATTTTCGAAGCGAAGCGAGTTAAAACTGAATTCCAACACTACCTGCAATACTATGTAATATGGGAAGTAAGTATCTATCTAAGGAGTGTCTCTAAACCCCATCAGGTACTGCATGATCTGGAAGGAGGCCTGAAATTATCAGTATCTGCGTCAGACGGTGTCTGCATGACAGCACTGTCGACTTACTACTGGCGCAAACTGTGGCACCCTAGTACAGCAGACATTAACATTGACAACGAGACTCTCCGAATTGCAGTAGACTCACATGTGTCCACTCAAGGCTACTTCATAATAAGTGAGTCCTCGTTCTGAGTGCATCGACCCATAGGCACCCACGCCATCGATCATAAAGCTGTCATTGGCGATAGGCGTCTGGAATCCTTGCAAACCATTCCCTTGGAATATAATGAGTGAGTGTTCGTGTACATCAAATACCACTAGGCACGCACAGGTCATGCTACAATGATTACCATCGATTAAAGTGATACAGTCATGGTCAAGAACGCACTTACTTTTGAATAACAATTCTGTCTCTAAATCATCGAGACATTGCGTCAGAATATACGAAGATCAGGGTCGAAACCGAAGTCATACCCAGCAGCAATGAGCATGAAGTCTGCGAGGCCGTGCACGATGACGGTCCGCTGGCTCTTCTCGATGACATTCGGTAACACAGTGAAGGCAGGGGGCAAGCTGCCATCTCCAGTTTCGAAGACATCAGGTTTGCATATGAACCAATCAGTGTTCACGGGAGCGTGGATAGCTTCTTTTACGTCTGTTAAGTTAAAGTAGATCGGAGACTGCGTGTCTCTGGATCTGCGTCAGCTGGGCTTCATTGAATCGATCATTGAATGGCCTACAGCAAACCTAGGACATCCCATGGAAGCGGATACTTGAAAGAAAAAGAAGTTAATATGGTATTCATCGATGTCTTGTTCGACTCACAGTGTCCCAGATGCGATAGATATTGAAAGAGGGGTTGATCATCAGCGCATTAAAGTAAATGTCGGTCCAGATATCGCAGCCTTGAACAAAATTGATAGAGTCTCCTGGCAGGGGAAGAAGTCCTTTTGGAGGGTATGTAACGTACTTATCCATGTAGCCAGTGTAATTGCACATTGCGGCCATCGCGTCGAGCTGCTCCATGTACGTTTGACTAGATATCAATCAGTAAGTAACCTGCAAACTAGGTCCGAGTGAAATGAACAGACTCAAAAGAGAAAAGACTAGCGTGCTTTTTCACAAAGTCCCATGCAGGGATTTCCTGTTGCACCACAAACCATGAGAATAAGGCTGAGTTTCACGTATGAGCCCTTGAGAAGAGACAGAGCAAGTCAAAGTGTTATTTACGATCATTGATCCATATCCCTTGCAACGAGAGGTCTAACAGAGTCGGGTTCTCGTAGATATAGTTTGCGATATCTTCATTTGTCTTGGAGTTACGTTCAAAGAAGATGACTGCTGACTCACAAGGAACGTATCTTCCAGCATACTGAATACAGTCAGTACGATGTTTTACTGGAGTCTCTGAGAACTCACACTTTCACCCGATAAATACAGCTTTTTACCTTTGAGTTCCGAAAAGACCTCAAGGAACTGCTGCATGAAGCCGACGACTTGAACAGCAACATCGTCCTCATTCTGTGCGTCCGGGATGCCTTGGGAAAACCCTGTGCCGACAGGTTGCTCCACCCAAAGGACGGAGGACAGGTTGGTCCAACTGTGTTGGTTCACCGTCGGTTTTGCCTGACCCCAGGACCAAGTAAAGGGCTTCAAACATCTCAGTTATAGATGTCTTGTCATCAACAAAGAGGCTTGCCCCATTCTCTTCCAGTAAACCTGCGAGGGAGGAGCATCCAGGTCCACCATTCGTCCTTGAAGTGGAACATGTCAGGTCAGCAGCGAAGAGCTTAGAGCACACCGCTCCTGATGACGCACCAAAAGATCAAATCATCAAGACTCCCTTGGGGGCCGGGAGGGAAAAACCAAAAAAAGAGCTGATGTACTTGATGTCAACGCTTGAAGAACGTGCATAGACTACTCAGGTACACACCTGACGCGTCTCATTAGGACTATTGCTGATGGGCAGAAGACCTGCCCAGCTAGGACCAACGTCGAAGTCAACAAGAGGAAGAGATTTGCCATCGACGTAAAATTCTGGACGAAGATGGATCATACGTATGAGATATTTACTTGTAGCATTACAATCACCTGAGGCCTTGGGGTTGGTGAATGTGAAATTCTGAACACCACCGCTCTTTCCGTTCTGAGAGCCACCAGTCTGCCAACGTTTTGCTGCCTCGAGTCGGCCTTCGTTCATCTCTTGCATGGTCATCAAACGACCGCTGACGGCGGCCACTGCGAGCAGAGTCGCAAACACGGCAAGAAGACGCATCACGGTCGAATAAGCCAAAATTTTGTAAGGGGGAAATAGCGTCCGTATCTAGAATGAGTACTTCTGAAGTGAACATTCACATAAGTATGCAAGGCGGATCGCCATGGCAGGGAATGTATGGTGTCATGGGTTTTTCATGTAGCGCTACGTGGGCACGGTCGACTTGGGCGTTGAACGTTCAACCGTGATTGACACACATGCGTTACGGCAGAATTGCCAAGCCGAGTTCTACCAACCGGTTTGGCCGAATTAGTTGTGCCTGGCAGTTGGCAAGACTTCTTTTCGAGAGCAGAACCTAGCAAAACCCCAGAACTCGCAGAGCAACGAGCCATTAAATTTGAATGATGAATTCGTGTTCAATTAAAATTGTTCGACTGTTACTCACATGCCGGAACATCCCTGAGTTATTGGAAAGCTTACACATTGAGAAGGCAACAATTGATTCGAAGTTACTCTTGGTTGTACCATGGAGAGTAATCTATGTCTCTGAGATAGACATTGATGCTCATTAGTGAGTACATTGCATGACAGTAAATACTCACAGCCCAGGGAAGCACGCCCAGTATGAAGTCCTGAAAGCTGAGTAATTGAACACATGGTTGAAGACGAACGTACTAGACATCATAGTAGCGGTGATATAGCTTGATAAAAATAGAAGTCAACTGTTGACACGATTACTAGTGCTGTCTCGTGGCATCCATGCCTGCGATACTTGCAATACCCACTTTGTTGTTGACTGGTTATCGGCGAGGGACCAGCAGAACAACCGGTGGGTACTAGTGAACTATTCCTATTCTATTTCACAACTAACAGTGTCAGAGCCAGGAAACATACAGACTTATCGTGACGAATTATGTCTTCCAAAGCTCTTACGACGCCTACCATTGAGCAAGTCGTGTATTCTGATTCTAAACCGCCTGCAATGCCAACCAGTGATAAAAATCCACTCCTGCCCAACCCGAGAGACGAACTCCAAAGCACAAATTTGGACAGGCATCGACCATCGAAAATTTTATCTTCTTGCACGACAACATCGGCATCACGAGCTTCGTTGAACGGCAGAATGCGCAAGTGGAACAGTGATACAGGGAAGCCATGATTAAGCGAGGGCCAAAAGATAGATGCACTGGCGCATGCACTGGACAGGTAGATAATGCGGGCGGGAAGACGGACGCGTCAGTAGTGGGACACCGACAGAAAGATGATTGAGGGTGTTTTAAGTTGGAGCCGACAAGTCAGATTCGAAAAGCAGAGACGCTTGGACTTGTATGTTTACCGTTAGGTGGTAAGAACGCACCCACTGCGTGTTATCAAAAATTTCCAACGGTAGATACCTGGCTGGAATGTGACCCCAGGGTCAAGTTTTAGCCATTTCTGGACCTATGGTATTGTAACGGTTGGGCTGTCCAAACGGCCCACGTCCAATTTACTTTGTTTCTCTTTCATTTGGTTCTGTCAGTCTCCTAACTACGCTTATTCATTTATACAGTTGCTCGTAGATGCTTCGGCCGAGTCTATAGCCCACAGTAGCATTTACTCTTCTGAAGCTACCCGACATCGGACATATTGTTAGCATAAATACTGCCTATAGTCGTAGAGTTACACTAGTGTCGTTTGAACCCTCAGAATTCAGACTTTGATCCTGTCACTTAGTTTGAATGCACTCTTCTCTATTGTGCCGTTGTCGTCGAGCCTAATACGCTAAACCGTCAACGTCACATCTTTTTTTGACATACTAGAGTCTACAAGCTTTAAAAAAAAACCTTTTAAAACCCCTTCTCATCGTCGACCCCGGCAACAATCGGTTAGGCCCACCGAACGTACCGCTCGACAATCAGATATCATGCCTCCTCGTTACCAATTACGCTCTCAGCGCTCTGCGCCAACTGCCAGTGTCGAAGACGCCCCTGATACCCGTAGTGAGTCTTCATTAACAACAGTACCAACTAATCATCATACCTCGACGGTGGAGAAGTCTATTGACTCTCATGTTGATGGATCCGTCCTAAGACCCGGCCGCTCCTACAGCGACGTGGTACGGACGAGAGCAGACACGCCTCAGCCTGGTGCTGAGGTCATGCCTGCTGGTGCTCTAAGCACCGAGGATACACCTAGCAGCTATAAAACTTCGTTAGCACCTAATTCAGCTACAAAGGTCTTGGATAACCCATTCGTTAGCTCGAGTGAATCGTCTGAGTCCGAGGTGGACGCACCTTGGAAAACGGTCGAACGCAGTCACCGAAGGTCTAAGAAGCCAGCAGCTACGGAGAAACAACCCCCTAAGGTTGATTTAGTAAGGGAGGCAGAAAAAATCCTTACCACAGAAGAGAGACGACGTATCCTCGAAAGGAAACACGCCGAATTAAATGCTGACTCCCGCGACCAGACGACATTGTCTCGGGAGGAAGGACCATCCGGTCACAAGGGAAAGGGAGCTGACCCCAGGAATTGGGGGAACACTGACCTTGAGGAATCTGAGATAGATATAGAAGCTCAGAGAGAGGCCCTGTCGACATGGGCGAAAACTCACCAATGGGCTAAGGTAGCCCGACAGGAAGACCTGGTCGAGGACTCTGATAAGGAGAATGATCCTCGTGCCAGGGACCCTATAGCGGAGGCCGTAAAAGCCACCGAAGAACGAATGACAAGGCTGTTTGAGAAACAAATTCAACAGTTAGAACATAAGCTTGAAAAGAGGGAAGATGTACTCACCAAGAAGGTGAAAATCAAGCCTCCCAGAAAGGAGAAAACAAAAGGAACAGGGAAGGAGCTGCGAAGCACCAATCCTGTTAAAGAGATGATGGAGAAGACGGGGAGTAAGCCGTCTAAGCATGGGGAGAGATCCACTCCCCCTGCAATGGATGCAGCAGCCCAGATAGCTCCCAAGAGCTATCTAGGGCGCGCGTTCATGCGCATTAAATCTAAAAAAAAGAGCATTAAAAAACGGAAAAAACGAGACACTGAGGACTCACCGAGTGGCAACAGTTCGACGAGCTCGTCGTCATCGGGCTCCTCTGAATCCGAATCGCCAGAGAGCTCAAGCTCGTTGTCCAGTGAGGCAACCAAAAGTTCCTCGTCGAGCGAGTCCAGTGACTCGTCCAAGAGCTCCGACTCTACAGCTAAAAAACGCAAGAAACGTTCGAAGAAACGTAAGCATTGCAAAGGGAAGAAGTCATCTAGGAAAAGTACTTTGAAACCGATTCCCCCCACCGAGTACGACGGTGCGGAGGACTCCAGGGCGTTCCATCGGTTCATCACCGAAGGGACCGCGTATCTGGAGGATGGGAACGTGGCCCGAGGACGTCGAGTCTTCACCCTGTCGCGATTCCTCAAAGGCAAGGCACATGAGTTCTACCTAAGACAAGTGTCAGATAATCCAGGTCAATGGAAGTTAGATGAATTCTTTACCGAATTGTTCAACTACTGTTTCCCATTGGACTATAGCACGAAGCAGCGAAAGAAGCTTTATAGGTGCTACCAAGGGGACAAACACATCCGGGATTACCTGTCAGAACTCAATGAACTTTGGATGATGATAGGAAACGTACCCGAGCGAGATAAGGTCATAAAATTCTGGTTCGGACTGAACCCGAGTATACAGAACGAGCTGTACAAGATGCATCTGAACCCAGAGGTGTTTTCATTGTCGAAGGTGCAGAAAACGGCGGAGATCATAGAGTTAGCCAATACGGCGTCTGGGTCTCGAACCCGTGAGGAGGGACCTAAAAACAATAAGAGGCCCGGAAGGGACAAATCAGAAAAGAACTCTAAGGGGACGGAGGGTGCTACACACCAGAACAGCCATTCGGGTCCTTCCAAGGATCGGAACGGGAACCAGAGGCACAACAACCACCAACGTCCCTCAAAGGGAAATGGGCGAACTGACCGTTTGGGACACAAAGGTCATCGGGACGAACCACCTAGAGAAAATAAGCTCAGCAAAGAGGAGCATGACAAACTTATGTCGGAGGGGCGATGTTTTGTTTGCAAGGAGATGGGGCACATGTCTCGTCAGTGCCCCAAACGAAGTGCTGTTGCCTCCAATAGGAGGAACCAACCTCCCGTCATCCCTAGCTACTCAATGGCGGTAGAGTTCGATAATGTTGAGCGCCTCCGCGACCTAGCCGATAGTACAGAGACCATACCTGAAGTCTCTGTTGGGAGCATGAGCATTAGCTATGAGACAGCCTGTGATCCAGACCAGGAGTGGAAAATAACGGACGTACCGCTTGGGGACCCCATTGCTGAGAGGGCGGAGCAACTAATGGCTCTATACGCGCCCTATCCTGGGGATGACCTGGAAAACGAGACTTCGTTCTCTGGTCAGCGCTTTGTCATATACAAAACGTCTGATACTCACTATGTTCTAATGGACGGTGCTCGCAGACTGGAGGAGGACCTTTTGGTACCGATAAGCCTACTTCAAAATGAGAAGTTCTGTTTAAGTGATTGGTACTGCACCCACCTAGCAAAACGGTTCGGAATGAACAAGTCCATGGCGCGGCTGATGCATGCCAGGATACCAATGGGTGACCCAGCCCTCAGATGAATCTGCGATATCCTGAACGATGAGCCCCACTTTCCAGGCCAGCGTTCCGAACAACGATTCACCTGCGTGAGAACCGCGTTCGGCGAGGACAAGACCCTGGAGATCCATGACCGGGACTTGCGGTTTAGAACATGGGTGGATGACAAATGCCTAAACAACCCTAAGTTAAACGTTACCCGTTGGTACACCAAACAGTTAATTAAGGCTTACCGTAAGTTGCATGGCATCATGCTGGAGAAGGAACTGGACGGGGAACTTGACCCGTTGAGGTTGCTGGAAGAGATGGGACCTCGGAGCCCGATGACGTGCGCACTAGAAGATGTAGCACATCATCTATTCGCGATGCCGGATATCCGGTTTGCTGAAACTAGGGATAAGTACCACCTAGTAGAATTGAACGGGCAGCAAGTCGCCCCGGGCGCTTACCCAGCGATCCAACGTAACTCGGCAACGACTCGGGACTTCAAGCGATTGATACCCAAGCCCATGGTCATTGTGGTGCATATAAATGGGCGTCCGGCTCGAGCTCTGGTGGATACCGGGTCCCTAGCGGATTTTATGTCCTTGTCTCTAGCAGATCAGCTGCGGGTAAAGAAAATCGAACTGGAGAAACCACTTACCATACAGCTGGCGGTCCAGGGATCCAGGTCCAAGGTGAACTTCGGCACCAAGGTGCAGTTTGCCTATCAGAAGATCAAGGAGGAGAGATTCTTCGACATCATCAACCTTCAGAACTATGACCTGGTGCTGGGAACACCGTTCTTATTCCAGCACCAGGTGATGGTGGGCTTAAACCCACCACGCGTTGTGGTTGGCAGTGGGGCTGCTTTACCTATCAAGGGTGAGCAGGTGTCAGTGTTAGAATCTCGGATGGCCGAGGCCTACGAAGAAAATTTGGAACGTGCCCGGGAAGAGCTACGTCGACTGGCCCGACCCTTGTGCGCAAAGGCCAGCGAAATGGGGCTACCTCCTTTGAGGGCGATCAACTACATCAGTAAATTCACACTTTTCTTGGCCGCCCTTATTTGCAAAATTAAAACTTAATTACAACTTATTTACCATTATTTACTTGAGCGCGTGCAAACGAAAGGAGACGCGCGACAAACAAGTGCAATAATTGATCAAAAGGTAGCACGTGACAAACAAGCGTGATAATACAGCGATAAGCCATCAAAAGTGCCTTCGTCAATTGCAAGTAACAGAAGTGAAGTAAGTACTACTAAGACTCATTTTAGCTATGATAGATTGACGAGATGGTGTTGATTACAGTCCATGGCAGCCTCAAAAACGTTCGTTTGCGGGCGGGGGAGCAGGCGCCAGTGGGGCGATGTAGTGATCAGGGCGGATGCTGCCATTCGGGCTGAAGCAGAGGCGGAGGCGGAGGAGGCGAACACGGAGGGGGCCTCATTGGGCTTTTGGAAAAGGATGAAGAGGTGGATGTGGAGCAGGGATTGAGATGAGACGAAACGCGTTGCGTGAGGCGCGTGGGGTGATTCCAAACTACAGTGAGTACTGAGATGTCCGATAATCGACGAGCACTCACCATTCGTTATGATAGTGTCGTCTCAGTGTCTCGTGGCCTGTAAATATAAGCCGTCAGCGTTGTAGCATTGTACACTAGGTAGAACAAACACGAACCTTTTTGCCGTCCTCCTCGCCATTTCTCATAGCCTCTTCGACACTCTTCTCCGTGATCGCTCTCCACACCCGAGTTCGCGAATGACGTGTTGAACCCCTCATCGAGTGACTTCGCAGAGTTGAAGATCTTGGGCAGGACGAAGTTGAGGAGGGCCAATAGTTCGGGAACGTTGTTCTGAAGGGGGGTACCGGTGAGGATGAGGCGGTAGCGGAAATGGTAGTACTGCGTCAGCGTCTGTGCAAGGGTACCGGTGAGGATGAGGCAGTAGCGGGAATGGTAGTACTGCGTCAGCGTCTGTGCAAGTTTCGACTGGGTGTTCTTCATGCGATGTCCCTCTGATAGCAAGCATGAACAACATAACCAAAAAAAAAAATCAAACCCACTTACCAATGATCATATGCACCCATTTGAGTTTGCTGAGAATAGGTCGGTCCTTGATGATGTACTCGTACGTAGTGAGCAGAACCTGGAACTGGCCCATCTGCAGGTCGCCTTGGAGGTTTCGACGTTGTGCAGGGTTGCCCTTGTACAAGATCATTTTCAGCGTCGGCGCCCACTTTGCGAATTCGCCAGACCAGTCCATCATTGTCGATAGAGGCACGATCTCGAGGAATTAAATATTCTAATGGGATCTGACCGTTAAAAACAGATCAAAATTTGAATTGAAGACGTACCTATGCCATACATGGCGGTCAGGAGGCTATCTCGAACACATGATGATCAGCGAACTTGTTGACATAAAATGAGCGGAAACAATCAATGGAATGGTAGAACTTAAGGTCGTGAGGGATGTACTCCGAACCGTACATAGGTATCAGGTGTGCTGCACGGAACACCGTCTCGATATGAATAACAGCAAGGTTCCGGGAACCACCCTTGTGGAAACTGGGACGGACCATCCACATGCCAGTGTCTTCGTCAGCACAATCATCAATCTTCTCAAACCAATGAATGAGAGCGCATGGATATACTTCCCAGTTGTGCTTGAAAGAAAAGAAGCATACAATTCTCGCAACTTCGAGTCCTCGCATGCCTTGAGCGTCCGAATCAGTGTCGATGAACACACAGTCATTGCGCAGGTACTCGTTTCTCCAGAGTGGACATGCACGGATATGTTCCCGTCGCATGCCACCAGTACCACTCAGATCGCTGGGAGCAAAGAAGGTTGCGGCAGCAGAATTGAAGACCTGGAGCTTGCCTTCATGCCGAGGCAAGCTACCAGTTGGGACATCTGCAGGATCGCGGGGATCATCTTGGTTGAGCTGAGTGAACAAAAAGTGTCGAATGAGGCGTCGCAGATCTGGAACAGCAACTTCGTGTGCTAACGCCGCTACTGTTCGCGCCCGTTTTCATTCTGTATGATACAATAGTTAGCATCGAGATTTGACGCTGCATGGTATCACTTACGAGGAGTTTTGGCAAGCACTACATAACCAAGTACTGTTGGACCATCAACTACCTCACCGTCATCGATATCGATGTCTGGTTGCGGTTCAATGGCATGGGCATCTGGCTGTGGTGCAATAGGAGGGACAGCCTGTTCATCTTCATCCGGTGCTGTATGTTGCTGTTTGAGTATGCGAGAAGACGACCAGAGAAAGAAATCTTACTGAGAGCGGCTAAAGCACTTGATAAAATAGTGCCAGTGAGCATCCCTCGTGCATCAAAGTCCACGCGGGATGCTGCAAGCTTGTCAAGGCGTTGATTGGTTACAAGCATCTGACCAAGAGCATTATGCCTGCTTGACCAACGCCAAGGCTCCTTTACAGCCTTGATATGTTTTGATTCTGTGATTGACGAGCATAGTCCGTTCGGGGCACCGAAAAGTCGAATCATGTCCGTATAATGAATCATTGAGTGCTGGCGAGGGAGTGAGAAGGTAGGAACAACGAGATCAAATATCTGGCGATAGCGATGGAACCGGTGAAGTGCGTCTTGCATCTGGTTCAGGGTATCTTCGGTGACAACATCGCGCCGCGCAAGATAACAAAATTCTAACAATGCGCGAAATGCGCGAACCATATCTCCAGGCACATGGCCTTCAATAGCTGGAAGAAAGACCTTCATGAGCGCTTTCGAATCATCACCCGTCCACTGTTTGAAGTCGCGGCCTTGAGGAAATCGTTGTAGACCAGAAAATGATGGTGCAGCAGCGACTCTGACTTAAATTAGAAGAGAATATCAATATAATGAATGAAGGGCATACCTGCAATCTATGTCGCTCATAATCTCCTCCGCCCGCCTGGTCCCGTGCACAGCCTTGAGGTACTTTGCTACCCAGTTGACGAGATGGTCTTTGAAAGCACCTTTGATGAGCTGATGGAGGAGGTCGAATGACAGTAACTCGTGGATATCTGCTCGGGGGAAGTCGTTTGTAAAGGGCTACACAATACATATTAGTTTCGAATTGCAGAGCGGCCGGCTCCACTCACGACGAGATCACCAATGATACCGAATTCATCCCATAATACATCCCCATGTAGCTCACCAATAAGGAACTCAGTGTGCTCACGACAGCGATCCATGCCACCATTGTCGAGGTTCGTTCGAACTGCAATACATCTATGTGTATTGTTAGTACAGATGGATAATGATTACAACTTCCAATACTCACTTCGGGCACCAATGCTTAACAATACAGGATAGCACTAGTTGTTCCTCGTAATCCGCGATGTAGGGTCCTAGACTGTATATAATGCGCCGAAAATGTCCATCTCCACAGCGCACAACTTCGTATTCGGTCATTGCGGATTTCAAGCTAGAGAGAATGGCAGATAGCGAGCTGTGGAATAGCTGGCGACGAAATATCCGAAACGCATCATCTTTTGAATGCTTCTTGTCAGCTGTAGTGCAGTAAGTCAGATGAGGCGCAATAAAATCTAAAATATCAACACACGTACTTTTGGGTATGGCGAGGAAACCGATTATGACAAGAGCATCGCGGTGAGCACGCCGTACACTGTTGCGTACATTGCCGATCGAGGCATAGAGGGGATAGTACTCGTTGTTACCAGTGCCCACAGAAACGGTAGTCTTATCACTACCGAGAATGATTGGGACTAACGCAGATCCATGCGTCTCTGGATCTTTTGATATGATGTCCTTGATGAAGCGTTAGCTCTGTCCCGAGCAGTAATAGATGGAAAACATACTGATTGTTTCCATGCCCAGTCTCCAGACATGAAGTCTTTCCAACAGCGCGTCTTGTCCGATGCATCGTATTCACGAAATGGCGTATAGTCGATTTCATCTTTGAAGGTGGGGTTGGCTAGTATGTTGTGCGCCATCGCGCGAGGGTCCCTATACCAGACATCAAATTCATCATCCATCCATGGCGGGACAACCTCAGGGCATTCTCCTGTGTACTGAACCGAGAAAGATTGCCAGGGGACATCACCAAGCTGTGTCGCATCTATGACATTGTGGAGATCTTTATGATCGGCGAATGGAGGGACATCGCGGTGTTTCATGAGAGTTGCGGCCATTAAATCACATAAGAAATCCAGGTTTTTGGCAGACATATGGCATTTTTTGAACGCGAACTCAGCCGCCTCAAATTCTATTCTATTGCGATATGGGCTCCAGTCGTCAGGAGCCTTTTGTGGCATGGGAGTTGGAGGGGCGCCATGTGGCAGAAATTCTCCATCAGCCGTGCATGGTCGTCCTAAGCATAGATCTAAGTCAAAAACAAAAACAACAAGAGTACAGATGTAAATGAACGTACCGTTTAACATCGAATGGTATGTACGATAACAACGCTCACTTGAATCGGTAAATTCTGCGTCAGCGTTGTCCGAATCCTCATGAGTTGGTTCAGAGGGCATAGGAGGTGATGGCTGGGGAGGTTGTGAGAAATCCCGAGGAGGCGGTGAGAAATCCGGAGGTGGTGGTGAGAAATCTCGAGGGTGGGATGGTGACCGGGATGGTTGAGGAGGTCCTGGAGCAGGTATATTTGGGTGGAGTGAACGCCTGTGTTGAGTGAGACCTGATTGGTTTCGAAACCAGCGTGCGCAGCCTGGAGCCGGGCATGGAAGCTGAAGTAGGTGGTGAGCACGGCGGGGAGGCATATATGTGTTGTAGGCCAAGTTGATGTTGGCAGTCGAAAAGTATATCTGAAGGTGAACGAGAAATTCGGACCGGCACCAATGTGACCAAACCAGGCTAAATGCACAAATGAAGGCTAGATTCGGGGGTTCTTGAAAGCGCCCAAATTACATAGGCTCATTGACGTTCGAGCAACACCAGAAACTTGAAGGTGTCCAATACAGTGAACTCTGGGTTCACAGCACCCGAAATATGCCGAAAGTGTTACTGAACTGCCTCCTTGCCGGACAGGTTTTAGTAAATGTTGATGTTCAAACTGCTTGCCGAGAAGCGCTTGATGAACATTGACGCCTTGCAGCAAAACTATGGGTAAAAATTAATATTCAGACTACTGGGGCTGGTGAAAAATACTGGTAGACAAACATTTGGGAGCGGCAGGCGCGAAAGGATCGCGGTAATCTAGTGGGTACGTCAGCTTGGTAAGGGTCAATGTAGATATTTATTCAGAGTCAGCTTAGACTACAATTTTTGAAGAATGGTGACGAAACATACCTTGTTGTGAGCTACCATCGCCCTCAAATTTCTTTACCCTCCCAAACGCTCCATTGACACCATGCCCACCAGCGCAGCTCCAAAACGCATGGCGACTCGACCTAAGAATGCAACTCAGCATCCAGGACATATTCTGACTGGGGGCGAAAACCATACAAAAAGATGTACCAAAGCTCAAAAGGCCGCCGACGACCAACGTGAAGAAGAGGAGAAGAAGGCAAGTAAAGCAGCTGTACTGGAAGCTAATAAGCGCGTTGCGGCATTTCATAAAAAGATGGAGACAGACCAAGCTGCTGCGCGTGCTGATGCACCTAAGCCTAGTCGTCCTCGTCCTCGTCCTGTGAAAAAGGCTGTGAAAGCTCCAGAGACCACCGACTTGACTACGGCTGCCGGTAAGGCTGTTGGCGCTATAGGCAATGGTGGCAGGGCTGATAAATCAGCAGCCAGTGCCAATATTGAGCATCCTGGGAGTGAAGAAGACGAGGAGTTGGAGGTGCAGATGCCAGGAGCACGCAAGAAGAAGGGAAAGAGGATGGTGATCCCAGTGAAAACACCTGTGAGAGATGCGATTGATGTGGCGGGTGCCCTTATCGCCAACGAATCAACACAGGCACGTGATGATGATAAGTCGTCTGACTCGGATGTGTAAGGCATTTAATCGTTTTAACCATGAAGCTCCATCTGACTGAAACATCACTTTTTTTCTTCAATCTTATGGTCTATGATGACGATGCTAGCTCTCCACCTGGTTCTAAAAAATTCAGTCATATCGGTCGTATCCCGAATTGGAGGACGCACATTCACATTGGAAAGCCATCCTCCGAGTCCAACTTGAAGCACCGTGGGAGAGCTTCTGGAGCGCCTTCTACTACTATCTCTAGTGCCACTCCCTCCTCTAGGCTCACCAGGGGGAGCACTTTGAGTAGTGGTGGTGCCTTACTCACGCCTATCGATACTCCCGATGCTGGGGCCAACGACGTGTCGGATCTTTTTACAACTCTGTTTGCAGACGACGAATTAACCGACTCAGTCGAGCGCTCTCAAGCACTCGCTCGTATGTCAAAATCAAAGGCTTCTCAGGTGAGTCCAACCATCTAGTTTATTTCTATGTGCTAACTGCATTTCCAGGGTGTCAAAATTTCTCAAAAGGTCTCAGAGAATTCTCGACTTCAAACGAAGTTACCCCATCGCAATGCCAATCTGGCACCCAAGCAGCTCGACCCGATTGAGCCTGATGTCACCGCGGATGATGGTGCCTTCAATCTCGTGGGCGATGATCTTGAAGTGAATGCGGAGACTGCTCCTCCAGTAACTTCCCTCGTTGACTATGATTCCAATACCGAGAGGGAATCTGATCTTGAACCCCCTCCTTCTGCACAGGTTCCAAAAGGATACTATGATGCCGACCGGCCTCCACGTCTCGCTCCATCCTACTTATCCCGCCCTACCAGCGTCAAGCACAAACTCGTAGATGCTGAGGATGACATTACTGACGATGACTTGATTGAGGACACTCTAATCGAGGACAACCTCATGATCACAGATGACTTTGCGATCGAGGACGACCTCATGTTAACGGATGTGATCAAGGACGACATCATGATCGAAGACGACCTCATGATCGAAGACGACCTCATGATCGAGGATGGCCTGGTCGACGAAGACTCACCCTCCTCCGAAATCGAGTTTGTGGCTCACGTCGAGCCTGTGGTCAAGACTGAGTACAAACCAGTGTCCTTGCGGTTGACTTCTACGGTAGTGTGCTTTGGGTTCAATTATTTGAATTCTACTGACTACAAAATTTATAGACCGGTGTCGGCGTCAAACGCAATGCCCCCCCTGCAGCAAAGCGGCTGAAGTCTTCTCGCAGCATGTCCAGCATTCCAAGTACTGTGAAACCTCAGGCTGGTCCCGCGAATCCGTTAGAGGTGACAGTGGAGATCCTCCCCCGTTCTTCATATAGGATCAAGCATCTTCCTGGAGGACCTCGGGCAGTGGCTAGGTGGAGCACAACCTTCATTCCCACTCTCATTTCTGCTATCGGAGACCAGGAAGAAGTCTGGGGTCGTATCGAGTCGGAAGCAATGTTCCACACTACTATACAGGACACCTGGGATGCTGTCTATGAAGATATCCCCCATATCGTCACGAATGATGGACCCGTTATAGCTATAGTGAGTTATCTTTGACACTATTCATGTCTGACCTTTATTTTTTCCTAGGCTCTGCAACGGCTATCAGAGTGGCGCAATTGCATTGGCACCACGGCTGTCACAGTATACACAAACTTCCTGTCGTTGCAAGATGATGTCAAGACTGATGAAGATCGCAAAGCATTTTCCGAGAGCTTACTTGTCAAGTTAGCGTTCCTGTATGGGAACATCCCGGAGGAAGGGAAATTGGAGAACCCTTTCGAGTCTGAGCTTATCATTCAGGTACTCACACAGCACGCATGCGCTACTTTGGGTGCTATTGGCGACCATCACACAACAGCGCATGCAAAAGGTGCACTCAGCCTTTGCACTGCAGCGGCATGTATCTTCCTGCCCTCTCTTCACAGCACGGCTAATTATTTCCTGTGTTTTAGGTGGAACGTGCCATCCGCCTTATCGCTTCCGAGACGCTTGTCAGCGAATTGGAGGCGAACAGTAAAGGCAAGGCCGTCAAGGTCCCTCACTCTCTCAACAAGTCCTCGGGCAAGATCAGTGGCTCTCGAAAGGCGTTCTCGGACACTAATTTCGGTGTAATGACCAGGCGCTACATGACATCCATCAACCGCCTGCAAGACTCAGTCATCCAGGATATCTGGGAACAGGCGAAGAAGATTGCCTTTAAGAGGCGCAGTGCACCCTCCGCTCCAGATGAAGACTCGGAGGATGAGCGCGCACTCATAGGGTTCTAGTTGTTGTCTTTCTTGTTGCCCACTGCATGCATCTCCTTCACTGCTTCACTGCTTCATAGTATGCTACTGCTTCGCTAATTGCTGCTTCTGAAACTCCTTTTTAGTGTCTTTTGTCCAACTTTTTCTATACTTAATCTACTTGTCGCTTGAAATGCTATGTTTTGCCGTCATTTTTCTCTCAAAAAGTGTGATTAAGTCGCAAACAAGTAGAAAATAAGTGAGATAAGTGTTATTACTTGCTGCTACTTTTGCTAGCACTTGCACTACTTACAAAGGCAAAATTATCGAAAAAAGGCCAAAATAAGAGTGGAAAAAGGTCCAGTCAAGAGGAGGCATCTGCTTTTTCAACTTAAAATTGCTTGTGGCAAGTGGGTGTCACAGTTCTTGCGCGTGGCTTATCCGCACCTTTTTTGGAAGTTAACCGGCGGCAAGTTACAAAAAAGGCAGTTCAAGAAATGTGAGAATTTACTGATGTATATGATCCCCCTCATTGACCCTAACAAAGTGTATAAGTGGCGACCTTCAAGGTGCCCTGAGCCTCTGCGTCCTCAATGGGGAGAGAAACGACAGGCTTACCTGGCATCCGGTGTAGAGAATCATGCCTCTCATGGTGTGATATGGTAGTTTTCACTAAGAAGTACATAGCATGAACTCATAGCATCACTCTGTGTACTATCCACAGTGATTCCTATATGATGCACAGCTTTCCCATGCCATGCACGCACCATTCCCACGCTTCGCGATGTATACGCGCGCGCGCTTTCCCGTGCTTGCGTGCCCTTTAGCGCCAGCCATCCAGATGCATCCATCCACTGTCCACCATGTTCTCTAGTGCGTATATTTCTATTTCTCTCATTGCATATTATTCCATCTTTATTTTTATCATGGACTCTCATATATACAGTGGCTCAAAAAAGTGTCCCAATGTTTGTAGCTTTTCATGTAATTGCTATACCATGTGTCAAGACGTGG